GAAAGCAAAGATATTGGTAAATGTTAGTTAGGGTCCTTTTTTTAGACATGAATGGCCAAAAATCGCGATTTGGGACCTGTTTATATAGGGTTTTTAAAAAATGACCCCCTATCTTACTAGTGTGATCAATTGTAATAGCATGGGTTAATAGAAAATGCTATTTTATATCTGTCTGATATTGAAAATCCAATACAATCTTTATGGTTTTACATTGTCACTCAACACTTTTCCTTCAATACAAATATTCAAAGCGTGGAAATATCGTATTTCTATTAAATTTTTGATTCTTTGTTTTTGTATTACTCTTCGTGGTGAACTATCTCATCAGCTAGTACATCGCTATTTTAAAGGACCACTTAGAGAATATTAGTAACAAGCTAAAAGAGGAATTCAGGCAGAAAACAATTTATCTATGTTACAGAATGCCCCCAATATTCTATAACAGTCTGATTGTGGTGGTATATTGTGAGTTATAGATGTTTGATTGTATGTAGAGATCTGTTGATATCTTCTTACAAGAAGATTATGCTCTCTATTAGAAAAATAATTATAAAAATCAAGAATTATATTGCGGCGTAGCTGATTATTAACCCATATGAATTACCTAAATGTTGTAAAAGCTGCTATCTATTTCAAAGATATAGATAACATGGAGAAAGAATACATTCAACACATGGATACACACAAGAAAGAGGTGGAAATGATTGAAATAGACTCTTGTGCCTTTAAAAGTGATCCGCTTGAAGTGAGTTACGCTGAATTTGAGAAATTATATCGATTTTTTGATTCCAAGTACAAGATGCATAATTCAACTAAGGACAGTATAACAAAGAAGTTAAGATACGAGTCTCAGAGATTACCAAATGTGATTGATTTATTGGAAGAGAGATACAATAAAGGTAATGGTTACATCAAGTCCAAAACAAGATCAAAACTATACGTTTATTTGTATAAGAGTTTGATGCAGATGCTGGATGTGAATTTATATTTCACAAGAAGAGATGCAATAGTTAATCAGGTTGCATTTTTAAAGAAAGCATATTCTAGGTATATTCTCAAGGTTAGTAAGTCGGATGCTACGAGAATAACAAGAATACATAGGGCATTTATTGCATCCAATCGTTTATTTAATGAATTAGAAGAGAAATATGAGAAGTATAAGGAGAGCATAAAAAAACTCAAGTATATTATTGATGCAATTGATCAACAATATAGCAGATAATGAGGATATGTAAGTTCTATCACGTTAACAGTATTCAAGTATTTAAAAATCAATTTGACCTATAAAAGAAAATTCAATAATAACCCATGTTTATTCAAGTGATTATGTTCATTTATTATCAAATGATGACATCAACACCTATTGACGACTACTGAAACAGAGCAAAGAATGCTATGGATCACGTTCACAGCGCATTTAATAAGGCAACAGTTAGTGTTGTGAATGAAAGTAGCGGATTGCTGCGTAAGAAATTTAAAAAGTTTCTGGTACAGTTAGAGCAAGTTAAATTTAAACAATCCAATTCCAAGATAAGACTGTTATTGGGTATTGATTTGATCAATATGAATGCAAAAAAGTATAATACTATATTATTGGAAAATGACATTCTCTTTGGTAAAGAGTGCAACAATCCGACGATAGGCACAGAACAAGCTAAAATCTCCTACAAGAAAAGAAAGAATGCAATTGAAGCAGAATTTAGAGAAACAAGGAGATTTCACATTGATGAATTGAAATCAAAGTGTCTGAGTGCCTATATTGTGATTAATGATTTGATGATTACAGATAATGACATAGGAAACTGTGTTGAAATTGGTAAGCTGTATAAAAAGAAGTGTGCTGAGCTGAATATAGGCATGGATGATGAGATAATTAATATGGTTAATTATATTGAATCCATTAATATTGATGCGTATGTGTTTATGGCAGGTGAATTGATGGGCTGCCTGAAAATTTGTGAAATATTAGTCGTGTCTGAAATAGGTATATGCTAAATTTGGAAACCTCTTATGGTTTTTGTATACTTACAGGAAGCTATGTGGCCTAAATTTTCCGCCAACATTGTTATTTTAAGACATTTACTAAAAATTGGGTTCAAAAGTAATAGAGTACATTGCGTTGCAAAGCTATAGAGAAACTAAAGATTTAAAATAGATGTTGTCGCTTGCCATAGACACGTTTATGATTAAATGATTTGCACATTGATTATTCTTGGGGCTTTACCCTGTTGATCAATAAATAGCAATAAACACATCAAGACATCAAACATGACGCATTGTCTTCAATCTAGCAATTGGATTGAACAGCAACAATTATATTAGAACGAATAATCACCGAATCTTTATAACCTTTCAGCTTGATCAATAACCACAGTCATATTTTACTTCAAATTAAATGATATCCGAACAGTAACACTAAAAACACAAAAACAGTTGACTACAGATCCATATTATTCACATGCAAGTAAACTATTCAAGTTTAATTACATACTCCAAAGCACACGTTATAGTCAAACTCTTCTTAACCTTGCATCAATCCCCATACTTTATTCCTTCTTGCTGTTATTGCCTGATTCTTCTATGTTGTCCTCATTATACTTCTTTATCAATATTACTGCCAATATTGATATTATCGTTATCGCCGCAGCAATAAACAGCATATGTTTACCTTTCATCAACATCCCCTTCTTATTTATTGTCTCTAGTTCATATTCTTCCAGGTTCTGTATTACTTGTTTTTCTCCCTTCTTCCTTGTTACCTTAATTATCTTTGTCTTCATTGCTCTCTCTCCGATTCTGAATACCACATACATGTATGCACAGCTAGTGTTCTTGATCTTCAAAGTAGGTATTTGTATGCTATATGGTAGTTGTACACAGTGCTTTTTCAATCTTTCTTGTTTTTCACTTGCTGTCAACCTAGAATCCTTTCCCATTTTAATTACTACCTTTTCTACTTCTTCACACATCAAGCATGCCATCACATCACCATTCTCTTCTCGCTTTTTTCCCAATGCCTTTAACTGCTCTATTACTGCCTTAAATTCCTTCGTGGTTGTATTGTCAGTATTAAAGAAGTTCACGATGTGTTTTTTTGATGATTTTGTTTTTTTCGCGCAGGTTGTCACCAATTTGATAATTGATTCTTTAATCTCGTCTCTCAGTGCAACGTTTTTGTTTGGTATAATAACAGTTTTAATTGTTTTATCGATGCTGTTTATCCGTTTAAACGCAATTTCAACTATACTATTGTCCCATGTAACATCAGGGAATAGAATTATTCTATCATGATATTTCTTGGTGGTGCTCGTGGTTTCAACATCTTTCAACTTGTCGTACTCAGCTTTGATTAACTTGTATTCTTGTTCTTCAAAGTATTGTATTTTAAACAAATGAAGTAACCAAATCAAAATAACTTCCATTTTGTATTATAGGGGTAATTAAGGACAAGCTTTATCAATATTCGTTAACCGATATCTCATGTGTCAAGTTGCGCCAATATTCCTGCGACTGTTTAGGTTATTGGTTAAGCTACTACAGGTTCTCACAACAATATCACCTATTAGGAAAATGACAAGCCATTTAAGGATGTTATCTCTCTATTCAGCTTTTTATCTATAACCCGTTACAAATATTCATAAAATTTGATGTTATTCTATTAGTTTCATTCCTAACATCCAGAATTATCCGATGAATCAACTGTTACTTGTCGTATTCTAACAATAAATTAGTAGAAATATGTGTAAAATACTAGAATATGACCCTAATTTCATTTTTTCTTCCTTTTTTTGTGTTTTTCAATACTAAAAACCTGAAATATTACAAAATATACGCATCTCTTACATACGATTTGCTTAAATATGTGTCACGAGTGTTGATATATGCATTGTTTCATTGTTTTGGTACCTATATTATACGATACGCTCATTATAGAAATATTCTGTTGAATATCATACAAATTATATTGCTTAAAACACAAAAATTAAAGAAGTACAGAATATGTCAACCATTACCACTACTTCTTTATGAAATTATTCACTGATCCTCTACTACCTTCATGTGTTTCCTTTTTCTTATTAATATTACTGCCACTATCAATATTATTGCAATCACCACAATAACCGATACAACGATCAGTATTATTTTGGTTTTCTTCGGTTCCTCTTTTTTTACTGTGACTTGCTTTGTGGAATCCTGATTTGATTCTTGGTTCTTTGCTTTTTCTTTTCTTGCTTTCTTTTGCTTTCTTTCTTCTTCTTTTCTTGCTTTCTTTTGTTTTCTTTCTTCTTTCTTTGCTTTCTTCTTTCTTTTCTTGCTTCTTTTGCTTTTAATTTTTCTGCTTTTAATTCTTCTACGTCTATTACTTGTGCGTTCAATTCATCTGCTTTTGATCCGTCTACGCCTGATTCTTGTGCGTTTGATTCTTCTGCGTTTACGTCTGATTCATCTGCTTTTAATTGATCTGCTTTTGATTCGTCTGCGTCTATTACTTCTGCGTCCGATTCTTCCTTTCTTATCTCTGTTATTTCTTTGGGTATTTTTACCGCATATTCTTCCAGGTCTTGTATTATTTGTTTTTCACTGTCTATTCTCTTTACCTTAATTATTTCAGACTTCATCCGTTTATCTCCGATTGCAAATACAAAATATACGTAAGCAGTGGTAACGTTTACGTTATTTCTACATGTAAATGTTAATGCACATGGTAGTTTCTGGACATGCTTTTTCAGTTTTTCTAACCTTTCTTCACCTTTTAACTTGCAGTCACTTACCATTTTGGTTGTTACCTTTATTGTTTCTTCATATAGTAAATGATCCAAGAAATATCCCTCTGCTTTTGATATTTCTGCTTGCTCTTTTAGTTCTTCTATTGTTGCCCTTAACTCATCTTCAGTTACCTTACCACTCATGTAGAACTTCAAAATGTTCTTCTTGGACTCTTTTTCATTCGGGTTGCAGTTTGTCACTAAATCAACAATAATGCTGTGTATCTTATCTCTCATTGTATAATCGTCATCAAATGCAATTTCTTTACTTTGTATAGAACCATCACCATTATTTATGTATATCGTCTCAATTTTAGCTTCATCGTTGTCCCACGTAACATCAGGAAATATCAACAGATTCTCTAGATATTTTTTGGAGGGTCTCAATGTTTTGTAATCAGTTAAACTGTCGTATTCAGCCTTAACTATACTGTAATCTGCATCTTCACCACATTGTATCATAGCAATATATAGCATCCTTAACCAAACAACTAACATCCTATATTACAGGGGTGATTAAGCAAAATTGTTAAATAGTCGTTAATTGACATATCACATATCAGAACATACTGATATTCTTTACGTAATTCAGCTAGTAATCTACATGATACACCCCCTCATAAGCTAAAGAACCAAATGATCACTAAATCTCTCATCCTCTCATAATTTGACAGATAGTTGGCCTGTCAACTTAAAATAGTTACGAAAATAGTTATCTAACTAAATGACTAAGACGTGGTGTTAATACGGCTGATAGCCAGTCTGCTATTCGCTCAATCCAGTCCTAAATAGCATGTAATTCGTATCTTCATCACACTGTATCCCAATAAAATAATTCAGAAAATATATCAAGTTAAGTTACTATTCTCTTACAAATAAAACAATAAGAAATTATTTACATGTGTAACCTAACACTCATTTCAACACCCAATATCATTTATTCCACTCTTTCTGTACTTTCCACATTCGTTTGTTCGTAACTTACTACGTCATAATTCTTCCCATGCTGAATCGTAGCCAATGCCTTGTGCAAATTGATGTCATAGTTCTTTACATTCTGTGGTGCCATTATTTGAAGATACGAAAGTGCCAGTGTCCCAGACGACATCACATTGCAGAATTGGAATGTCAGCAATATCGATAATACTCCTCCAAATATCGCAGCAATCACCACTGGATCACTCTTCTTCCTGAATACAACATATCCAATATTCAATCCTACAATCAGAATGGTTTGAATCATAAACAGGAAATTCTGGGTATATTCTGCCGCCACAAATGACTTGAATGCCACATTCTCTTTCTTGCTCAACAATTCAAATGAGTCATTAATCGCCTTCCTATAGGAGTCCCCTGTTATTGCCAAATATGAAAATGTAAACTTGTTCAATACATGAACATACGACTCAACCAGTGACAAAGTGCAATCAGCCATGCACAGAATGACCATTTCAAATGCCCCAGGCTGCTCATCACTTCTTACACTTCTCTGTCTTTTTGAATTAACCAAATACCGTAGTGTCTTGATGACTGCTATGATAAGTGCTCCAAATGCAACTGATCCCATTGCATAAGCCATGTTTCCTAATGCTCTTCCTGCTACGGATGCCTCTCTGTCATCCCTCTCACTTGATGTCTTCTTCAATAATTCACCTGTTATTATCCCAGCTGTGAATACGTCAAACAGGTACATAAAGAATGAATTGATCCAGAAGATTGAGAAGATGAGGGCTGTTCCAATCGCATTTCCGATGTCTTCTTTCTCTCCGAAGCTGAATGCCATACAGACTCCTATTGTACCATTCAGGACAATCAGTAGCAAGAAGTTGAATAATAATGCGAATATGTGACTATTCAGCATGCTGGATGTTGTACTGAAGAGTTGTGCAATGATATCAATGTGTCCTCTGATGTACAGCCAGACTAAGACTGATAAGAAAAGAGAGAGACCAGCAGTAGCAATCATCCCACGTTGGTCAACCACAAATCCCAGTATCAGACAGCAGAGTGGCATGAGAAACAGACTGGTGTATATGACCAACTTTGGTGCTACCGAATAGAGGCAGAACATCATCATATTCAACACCATTGATATTGCCAGGTTGAACCCAAGTCCCTTAATCAGTTCGTTAACCAGTCCGTTTGTTTTGGATTTGTCAAGTGATATGGAGTAGATTCGTGCTATTCCAATTCCAGTGAATGTTCCACTAAAGAGCAGAAGTAGAATGAATGCCCATGCATCATGGAATGACCTTCTTGGTGCAAAATGTAACTCAGACTTCAGTAACATGGGCTGTTTTAAATCACAAACAAAAATGATCTAAATTTACACCCTGAAACTCAAACTGATCAAGACATATTAAAATAGTAATATGTTCATTCATAAAAATATATGCACTTTCCAACACCAATACACAGTCAGACTAGGTGCATAATCTCCCTAATTATAACTTCCATTTATTCCTTTCCTACAAATCCCTTCTTAAACACCACATTGAAGAATATCCTAAATCCAAGGACACTCAGCCCCAGTCTGTCCCAGTCTGACTCAGTCAGCCCCTTCAACTCCCCAAATGTCCTCAGATCCTGCCCAGTGAATGCTCCTAGCCACCCCTTCATGAACTCCTTCTTCCCGTACGTCTTGCATACGTCTCCTACGAACTCATCAATTGGGGTGGAATAGGCGTATTCCTTAGTCCCCTTCTTGTAGACCAGTTGCCTGTTTCTAGGCGGATATGAATTCTGACCATAAAGCATGTTTTGCATCGTTCTACAGGCAAAGAGAGTCAGATTCAACTTCTCCCAGTCATCGGCCGTAAGCAACTTCAGGTCGCCAGTCGTCAGAATGTCGTTCTCAATGAATGCTGCTCCCCAGTACTTCCCATTCTCGAGGTCTCTCTGCGTAATCCGACACGCATCCAACGTGAACTCCTCAATTGCCACGTCTCTCTGGTACCTCTCCCTTGTGATCTCATACGCCCTGGCTATGCTGGTTGCCTTTGTTTTTGTTAGGGTGACTGTGCTTCCGCTATTCTTCTCCACGAGGGAGTCAGCTGACCCAGTCGTAGTCATATACAGCTGATAGATCTGTGCTGCCTCCTGAATCTTCTCGTCGTCACCCTGCTTCCCTCCTGCCCCCTTTATCTCCTCCTCAATCTCCTGCATAATTTCCATTGTGTTTGCTCCAAAGACGGCCTCCTCAGTCGACGTCTCCCTTTCCTTCTGCTCCACCACACTCCTCGAATCCACGTCCTCAACCACCACCTTCTTCGCCTCCTCTCCAATGACCAGTCTCCTCTCTCCTGCCATCTCGTCCTTCCCCACCTCAAACATCCCCTGGTGAATGCGCCTTGCCTTCTTCATCGAATGCGCCCTCTCAATTCCATTTCTAAGCAGAATCTGAAAGTGCCCTATGGCCTCCTTCTGGACCACCTTCTCCCTCGCCAACTCGTCGCAAATCTTCTCTACGGTATCGGTGTCCAAATCGTATTCAAACTTAATGAACCTGAAGTTCTCGAGTGTCCCAGTCTCCTTGAGCTGAACCTGGAATGTTATGCTTCTTTCACCATATGCCACCATAGAAAGAAGCATGTCTCTCTCTCTTCCTAATGGATATATCATACAGTAGCTCTGGGCCATACACTTTCCACCACACTCTCGTTCTGCCTCTCCATTGAAGAAGTGGTGTCTGAGACAGGCAGCAGCACTGAGGCGGTTTGGTGCAGCCGTGATGCAGCTCACAATGAGATGCCTCAGACACCTGTTTCTGACGTGTTTGAGTGCCTCAGGCGGACAGCCCTGGAGCACGCTTCTCTTTACGTCAGTGGTCTCGGCACATTCAGCGTATGGCGTCCTTCCAGTCGCCATCTGAATCAGAGTCATCCCAAATGCGTAGACGTCGACTGCCTCGGAGTAGCCGTCTCCCTCAAACATCTCCCTGGCCATGTAGTTCAGTGTCCCAATGATCGTGTATCGCTTGTACTTCCTCTCCTTCGCTATTCCCAGGTCGCCTATCTTCACCTCGCCCTGGGCTGAATTCACAAACACGTTTTCCGCCTTGATGTCCCTGTGGATGATGGGCGGACTCAGCCCGTGCAAGTGGCCTATTCCAGCCAGCACCTGTCTCCCCCACTTCTGCACCAGCTTGTCAGAGAGGGCGCCATTCTTCTGGACGTAGTCCAAGAGTGTTCCACCAGTCATCAACTCGGTGATGAATACGAAGTTGTCCTCATCAAACCAGTAATCGAGGATTTTGATGATGTTTGGGTGGTCGATGTTCTTGAGGAGGGCGATCTCCTTCGAGAACGACGTGTGCGAGTGGACCTCTGCCTCGTACTTCTTGATCAGCACCTCGTTGTATGCCACCTCCTTTCCCTCCTCGTTGTCAACCGCCTTTGAGACCGTTTTGTACGATCCCTCTCCAAGAACAACGTTGGTTTTTTTGTATCTCTCTTTCATGGGTGAATAATTTAGGTAGATCATAAAGTAGTATAATATAATATAGTAGTTTGGATAGGATAAGGGTGACTCATATTCTACTTATTAGTACTGCTAGTCTCTGTTCTTCCTCATCAGCCATAATGGCTGGGTCGGTCTCAATGAATCTACCGCCCTTTCTAAGAATCAGGTTCTTGATCTTTCTGTACGTCTCCCTGAAATCAGTCTCAAAATAGTTGTCGTAGATGTGCAACTCCCTGATTTGGTTGTGTTTTGCCAGCTCAACCAGCTGATTCATGGACTCCTCAGTCTCAAGATCATTCTGGGAGACATCAAGGTGCTCTATTTTCGATCCAGTATCAACCATTTTCTGTAGAATCACATCCATGTGATCTGTTTTGATGTCACGGAGGTGGATTAGACGCAGAGATCCATGGCCGAGGATCTCGAGCAACGCAGTCTCCTCCTCAACGAAGTTGTCCGAGATATCGAGTTCAATCAGAGACAGTGAAACAAGGCCATTCAAAAATGAGTCGAGTCCCTCGTAGACCGTGTTATGGGCCATTTTGAACAGGGTGAGATTCTCAAATTGCCCAATGATTTCACCAAGTTCATTTGTGGCCGAATTCATTCTGTTTTTACCAATATTCAACTTCTCAAGGCGTGTCTTATCAGATAGGCCTTCAAGTGCCCTTAAAACACGTTCAATTCCCTCTCGGCCTAGGCCACAGTTGTAGAGATTCAACTCAACGAGATTGGATCTGCTTATGAAGTCAGTTAAGGCATTGGGAAAGTTGCAGCTTAGGGCATTTGATGAGAGATTCAGGGCGATTAGGCCGTTTGGGAGACTGTTTGTGATCATAGAGCACAGACTAGACATCTCTTCGAAGTCAAGACAACTCATTGTTGACTCAAATGAGGCTGTTTTCAGATTTCTCATTTTCTTGATTTGCTCTGCAATGCTAGCGAATGCATCAGGGTGGTAGGTGTTGTTGCTTAGGTCCAATGCAGTCAGTCTTTGACTCAATTCAGCCAGATTGGCTACCAGAGACCGTACACTTTCAGCCGTATCGTATTTCACGTCAGTTGTGGCCACTTTGAAAAACATGCCCAAAAAAGACAAGAAATCAAAGCTCCTTAAGATGAAATAATGAAGGAAAAGGAGACAGGATGAAAGAGGAGAATAACGAGAATGTACCAGAAAGTGACAGTTCAACGAAATCGAGACCAAAGAGGCTCTTTGGGGAGGTGGAACCAGAACTAGCCAGAGAGAAGTTCAGGCAGCTTGCGCTGAAGGAGCGTGGAAGCAACACGAGCAACAAGGAATACGAGTTTCCACCAGTTCAGAAGGTGGAAGCTGTTGGTGCACTTTCTTCACCACAAAAGAGGAGGAAATCAACCAGTTCAAGTAGTAGGCCAAGTGACGTCATTAAGGTTGAGCCGCCTAAGAATTCAGAAAATGTGAAATCGTTCAATGACTTCGATGAGAAGATATTTGAGATGGATGAGACTCGTGGGATGTTTGTGTGCCCTGTTTCAGGATGCGAGAAGGAGTTTCCTTCTCTCTCGCGAATAAAGAGGCACTATATTATTCACACTGATATTAAGCCATTCAAGTGCAAGAACAAGGATTGTGATAGGAGATTCAGTAGAAAGGATAATATGTTGCAGCACTACCGTACACACTGTCCATACACCAAGTAACAAAGATACCTGTCATCAATTGATTAATTAAATGTTGATGCTATTCATTATCGTAACAAGGGTGAAATTCATAAATTTCTCAAATTTTATCACCCCAATGGCAACGAAGATTGATGAGAAGATGAAAGTGGTAAGTTTTCTGACTGAAGACGTGCTTAAGCCTGCGGTAGAGCAGATCAAGGCAACAGCAAGCGAGGAGAAGCCTGAGTCGTATCAGATCCAGATTTCAACAAAGGGATATGAAAACAGAAAAGACCCAAAAATGACTAAGGAAATCAAGTTTCCATTTCATATGCGATTGAATCCTGGATCATGTGCAATTGGAGATGCAAAGGCAAAGGAGATTGCAGATGCAAATGGAATTCCATGTGTTCTGATTCAGGAGTACGAGGGCAAATCAGAAGAGAGCAAGAAAAAGCGTGAGAAGTTCCTAAAGAATTACACGTATTTCATTCTATGCCCAGGATACAACAAGGCATTCAGTTTGAAGGAAATTCTGATGAAGAAGAAGACGCACTTCATGTGCAATGCAGTTGAGCAGCTGCCAGCTGTCTATGAGGCATGTCGATTCACGTACAAGGTCAAAGTCAAGGACTGGTTCTCAATCTCATTCCCAGTAGGACACACTCAGATGCCAGACACGGAAGTAGTTGAAAACATAAAGTATGGCGTACAGTTTCTGGCTGATAACCTGAAGAAGGGACCAATGAACATCAAGGACTGCTATCTGAAGAGAACAACAGGGGGGAAAGTAAAGCTTTATTAAATTGGTTGAAGATGGTTTGTAGTGAGCCATTGTAGGGGGGTCAGGCTGTAATTGTTGTAAATGTATAAAATAGCCCTATTTTGATTGAGATGAGAATACTGTAACTAACCCTTGTTATAAAATTACTATTTTGCCCTGTAATGTTTGAGGTGAAAAAGAGTCTGTTTAGTCTTCTACTTGCTCCTGCCTTTCTGGGTAAGGGAAATGCAGATATAAGCAAATCAATACGAGAAAAAGTGTATAGGTCACTCTTCGTATATGCTACTCGACCATTTGGACTGGGATCGAGAATATCGGTTGAAAACTACTCAGGGACAGTGGCTGGCGTGAATCTGCTCTACGTCAAACTCAGAAACAGAAGACAAACCATTTATGTGCCAACATCATTCATATACGACAAAATAATCATCGAGAACAACTGATCAATCACACTTCTTCTCACTCAGGTAAAACATCTTCGCACTCTGGTCGCATTCTGTGATAAATGGGTGCTTTAGTATTCTGTCCAATCCAATTCTCTCTTTTGGATCGAACTTGAGCATCTCAGTCAATAAGTCTACGGCTGAGTCTGGTAACCAGTAATACTCATCCTTGATATTCGATAGATTCTTCTTGTACAGCGCAAGCTGTTCCACCTCACAATTCGACTTACATGGAGCATGGCCCAATAGCATCTCAAGCAGTACAATTCCAATGGACCAGGTGTCTATTGCATACTTATATTCAGTATACACGTTCTTGGTTCCAAACTCAAGCAATTCTGGTGCTCTGTACCACAATGTGGTCACAATTGATGACATCATTGGCTGTATCTTCCTAGACATTCCAAAGTCAATTATTTTTATCACGTTATTTGAATCAAGCATGATGTTTGATGACTTCAGGTCTCGATGAATTAGTTTATGTTGATGGATGCTCTGGATTCCAACTACAATTTGCCTAAAATGCTCACTTGCTTCTCTCAGATACTCGTATCTCTTTCCCATCAGTGTCTCCTTGTAAAGTGGAAATACCACGTATAATTCAGTATCCTCAATAACAATCTCCTCAATTCTACTAATGTGCTTTATTCCATCCAGTAGAATAAGTGCCTTCAACTCACGTACAGTAGTCAGATGCACTGCTCCCTGTTTCTTGTTTGTGAATCTCTTCACAGCGTATTCCTGTCCATCTCTGCTATACATAGACACCTCTCCAAATGTCCCTTTGTTGATTTTATCAATTGGCCTATACGATCGTATTGAATTGATTACTCTTATTTTACTGTATGATTTCTTCCTATCTCGTACCAGCATCAGGGAATAAAAATATGAATTTTATTGTAATCCAAGAAATCAAACATAATAGCTAAGGGTTTATTTTAAAACTATCCCAATCCTCAACAAATTTGACTCACTCTCTTCACTCTCCCTTTAGAATCCACTTTTCTTCTTTTTGGGCTTAATATGCTTTTTGGTAGGTTTGACTGCTACTTTCACTTTTCTAGCCATTTCTGTCTCATATTGCTTCACAATCTGGTCATATACTGCATTCCTATCGTATTTCAGGTACAGATTATTCTCTAAGTTCTTCTCACACTCATCTTTGTACTTCTTACTGAACCATTCGCATGCCTGTTCGGTGTAAAATCCATTCAATCTTACTATTTCCAGGTCATCAAAATAAATCACTGTCTCATTGCCAATTTTGTCTGATTTGCATATTTTGACTCGCCTATCTACTGTTTTCATTACCTTTTCGACCACTTCTCTCTCATTCCAGTTCTCTTCAATACTAATATTAAGCAAATCAGTCAATTTGATTCTTATTTCTTGATCATCACATAATATTTCACTAAATGGTATTGTTGCATTGTTGTTACTGATTGGTTTTTCAGTGATTTTTTGATACCATGCCTGATCTACTTCTCTACAACTAGTATTGCATTCACCTTCTGTATCCTTCTTTATCACAATTCTATCTTTATATATCAATATCAATTCATTTCTGTATCCGATCACACCATATAGTTCTTCATCCATCCTGATATACTCCCAGGTATCATCATACATCTCATCAAATATTCCAATGTTGATTTTGATGTATCCGTTTTTACTATCGTATAAAATTATATTAGTATCGTTTGATTGCATGTAACTTACTTTGTGTTTTATCAAACTGAATAATTTGATCGTATTTACATCTCCAGCCATACTAATACGTGATAGTTCATTATATCCAACCATATAGATTGTATTATTGATGATTTTTAGATCCACAAGTGAATCAAAATCCAGTAATATCAAATCAGTGTTCTCCAATTCAACCAGATCTATTTTATAAAGTCCTATTCTCTTCTTTAGGAACAGAAATCTACCTGTGATAAACAGGTTTTCAACTACTTTGTTAAATGCGTAAATTTGCTCAACTTCTCCATCTTTGTGGACCACAACCATCCAATTGATCAATATATAAAGTCTACCATACTCATACCATGCGTCCCTAATTGTCAATTCCTTATCTTGCTTTGATTTTGGTTTTTCTATAAATCCAACCAAATCACTAAAATCACCAATGGTCTTCTTGAATTCAAACAGATCGAAATACCTTGTGATTTTCTCAGCTTCTTTTCTGTAAATTGCTATAAATCTCCTTGCTATAAAATAGGCTGTTTTACCAGAAAGAATAATTTTGTATTGGCCCTTGATTCTATCAAGCTGAAATCTCTTTTTGATAAATGTGTTTTCATATCTCTCAATAATATCAACTGTGAATGTCCTCTTCATGATATAGATCACCATGTGCTCATTTGCTGCTGAATTAATACCCAATCCCTCGTATTCTTTTGTGTTGTTGTAGAAGTCGCTAGTTTTGTTGTTTTCTAATGCTGTTTCTGTCAAATAGTTGTTGTAAGTGAATCCAATATGTCTGTAGTTGATCTTGTAGTTCACCAGTTTCAATGGTGTTGTTTTCAGTTTTATTTTGATAAAATTCCTCATCAATCAGGGTAGAAATGACTGCTGCATCAATAGGTGAAACAGTGTTATATTATCCAATGCATTTTCTAGAGAATGGTATCTCTGTTTGGTCTCATTGGATTCATAACTGCATCGTCATTTTCACCCTACAATGACATCCCAAAAGATGCTGGTCTAAATCCAACACTTTATGCAGGTCCATATTCTTCTTCCAGAAATGTTCTAGAAGCAACTATGAGAGAAATAATTGAAAGAATGAGACAGAGACTCGGAACAGAAACAGGAAACTCATTTCAGGCAAAGGACATGTTAATGGAGCTGAAGATGGCCATGCGAGACTATTCAATGAAAGACGATAGGTTGAGTAAGTTCAATAATGCAATTCACATGATAGAAAGTGCAATCAGATCGTATGATGCAACTGGTATTGAAAAGAACAAGATCTATCGATATGTCAGGCAACTTGATCCAGCACTGAACTCTACGTATGCAGCAAATGAGCTAGTTCGACTCATGCAGCTGGCTGACGAATCAATGTCACACGAAGAGAATATTTATGAGAAGATTGTGTTGATTGTGGATGCATTGGAGTACTATTACACCAATTCAATGCAATTTGGAAACATTCACGTCCTGAACTTCTTCAAATAAAGCATACTTGAAATTGCCCATATTCTAGGTTCCTATGAAATTTACTCTAATGAATGAATCTAGTGCTCTATAAGACGTTATAAACAAATATTATTGATAGTTCATCCATTGGATAATAAAGCCAAAACAATTTGTTTCAACATATCTATAAATGTTTTAGATAATTTACTACATGCTTCTTCTAATCAACCTGGTATCTGCGGGCTACACTTCGTACAGGAGAACCACGACTAGCTCCATGCCAACTACATCGTACAGGTCGTACACAACGCGTAGAACAACATCTTCATACGGTGGTGTACCAAATCCATCTCCATTTAGTAGCTATCCTAGTCCATATTCTACCTACAACCCAGTATTTGATAAGATGACCAACCTAAAGAGCGCATTAGCAGATAAACTGAGCCAGGATTTCCGCAAGTACGTAAATCCTGATAATGTGGGAGGAGAAATGAACTCAATCAGAGAAGAACCAGGTGCTAATGGACTGAGAACAAGCACGGAAGTACTCTACAATCAGAGAGGAAGTGTTCGGGAGATGGAAAGCTACGTGATGAGCCTGAGGGAGCAGAACGATGCAAGAAGAACTGCACAAGATCTGATGTCCAAACTTAATAGCAGCATCAAAATTATGGATGATCGTGGAAGTGAAGTAGATGCATTCAGGGCACTTAAGGATGCTATTCGTCTATTTGATAGCAACCAAAACACTCTCAAAGGTCTTCCAAGTAACAGAACAAGCTACTATTGAGAAAATAGATGTAATGAAGGAAGTAATTGTTAGATATCGTTATCATTTCCTTGAGGGTCTAGCTTATCAGCCGTGTTCTCCACTATCATACGTTCAATACTCTTATGGTTGTAGGCATTTACTTGACGCTAGGTCTCTTTGAACTTCTTCTATTTATATATTATTTGATCAAATCATTATTTATTTAACATTTTCAAATGACTCACATGTTGTCATTGCAACAGCTATAGTATTTGATTATAGTCGTTAGTTATTTTCTAATGATTTGGTATTTCATTTGAAACAGGTTGTTTTACGTTATAAAACCAAAGATGCACTAGTGATATGCTATTCATTAAATTAGTAGAGTGCCTGTACCAGTCAAGGACGTACTACGAGAGTGTGAAGCCAAGCAATCCATCAACATACACAAGGATCATCAGGCGATATGGAACCAGTACGCAGCCGTTGGGAAATACGAACTTGGCTGTTGCAAACATGGACAAGATCAAAGATAATGTGGCAGAAGGAATAAAAATTGAAATAAGCAAAACAGTAAGCAGTGATGAGTTGGTTGGTGAATTGAATAAAATACAAGAATCACCAAGTAAGGCAGGAATGGATAAAGCATTGGAGGGATTCTACAACGCGAGTCCAAATTTGTACTCAATCATGTTTTACGAATCAGGTTTAAGTGATAAAGAAAGTTCAAAGAACATTGTTCGAAATCTGGTGAGTAAGTTGCAGCGGCCATACACCTTGAAACAATCAGGTGCAGATAAAAGTGACCAGTTTAAAGCAATGAAGGAGGCAATAGAATACTATGACGCAAATAATGCAGTATTGACTGTTTTACCCAAACAACAAACGATATTTCCTATTGAAAAGTTATATCAATTTCCAACTGGGTTTCTAAAGCGATTGTACTTCAGCATCAGATGATATAAAATGCGCCTTATTTTGTTTGTTAAGATCTGAATCACTAGATTGTAACACTGGATTCATTCCCATTTCAATAAAGTTGATGATTGAATAAATAATACTCATCTGTGATGGTGTCAGGTTTCTAATATGTGAAATTGAAATACCATTGACATTCAAGTACTGGTCATCATACATTTCAAGGTATTCAATATTGAATAAAATGGGATAGAATATTTACTTTATTGAACATCAAATAATTTAAACCTCTTTTTTCTGTTTGATTTTCGTCTGAACCCTTTTAATACCAGTGGTGCAATTGTGTACTTTTTTCTTCAATAATATTGTATTTTTCTTTAATGCCTTAAGTTCACTCTTCTTTTGCGACAATAACCTATCTTTCTCTTTCTTTACCTCATTTAGTTCTCTAAGTTTTGGTTCTAGTTGCTTTAATTGATATTTGACTCTCAATAATGCAACCTGGCATGCTACTTTACAATCCTGTGTTGTTATGAACACGGGAATCATATTTAGTGTTTTGAGACTTCTTGTTACTTTTTCTCTCAATTTGCTGTCGATGATTGTAATGCTGAAATTAGAGTCTTTAGTAGTATTGTTTCTTTCAGTTAACATCATACAGCAATTCACCATATTGTTTAGAATTGGTTCCATAACTTCAAGTTCCAACTTGTTTACTGTGAGTTTGTTTAAATCAAATTCCGCCGCTCTAGCATTATTAAATACCACTTTTAACTCTGCTACTGGTAGTTTCTCATTCATCTTTGAAACCTCAACTTCCCTTATCAGTATTTTATTTCTTTCAAGTAGAATTTCTTCTTTTAGCAACAGTGATTCAATGGTATTGGCTGATCCTCTAATTAGACTACACAATGCACCAAGGATAACTAAAATCAAATTCATGGGCTAATAATTATTGAAGATTTTCAGGTTCTGATTAAATAATTGATTTTCTAATTCCTACATATTGATTTAATAATTATGCTATTTATTATGGGTATCTTTCAGTTCGTCTCTGTACTTCATCAATTCTATACCATCTCTTTCAATCTCCTCTCTGATTCGTTTTCTTACTTTTTCACACATCCTGTAATATTCACCATTTGTCTTTATTTCTTTTGAATCACTATTCACTTCCCGATATTCTTTAAATAGCGCATTTACCTTATCAATTATCTTGTTATTGATGTATTCCACTCTTAATGTTTCATTCATTCCATATTCGAAGTAATACAATTCGAAATCTATGTATGCCATCATTTCCAGTAATATTGCTAGGTTCTGCTGCTTTATGAATCGTCTGCTTCTGATATCAATCCTCTTTATTATCAGGTTCTTTCTCCTTTGATTGCTGTCCGGTCTACTCTTGCTTACTTCAGTATCTGGAATCAATTCTATCACATTATCTTGACTATTTTCTAATTCAATACCAACCCGTGTATCCAATTCTGCACAGTTTATTAAACAGAAATACGTTAACACCACTGTTAAATTCATGGATACCCTTTTCATATTTATTTATCAGTAACCTTATTAATATTTATGCACATTTCCAGTATAAATAAATTCAGTTAGCTCTGTTTCATTAAATTGTATTTCATTCTTGTATTGCCGTATCCTTTCAAATGATTCCTTCTTCAGGTTCTCTCTAATGGAAAGCATGGAAATCAAACCACCCCTAGTACTTAATACATACTCACACCATGATTTTATAGAACATTTCCTCATAAATGATTCGCTCATCAGCTTATTTTCATAAGTACTACCATTGGTTTTAATCTTAATCAAGTCATCAATCTCTGTTTGATTCAATATACCATACAAACCCATACGAGTATCTTCTCCCAAGCAAAGCTTAGCTACATTAAGCACCTCGATTATTCCATTCACTACATTGATTTTTTGATTAACCTGTTTTACAATTGACTCATCCATAGCCAATTCCGCCTCCAATGATCCGATTCCATTCCTTAACATTGCATTCCTCTTTTTTATTACGTTGGAACACTCTCCGACACCCAATTCTAATGATGCTGATGCTCTAATAATCCGAAACAATAAACTAATTGTCATTTATGGGCTAAATCGAATCATCAAATAAAAAAATAACAAATATCAGTTCATTGTAAAACAACCTGTTTCCATTTATAAACAACTTTCTAACTGCCTTGACATGCGTTTTAATACCACATTCATTCTATCAATCACCGCAGAACGAATCACGTACGATCTGGTCACAAAAGAGAGTCCTAAGACAGCCACACCGTACGTTCATAAGGAGAGGCACATTCAAAATTTCATTATCACAGATAGAACAGACATTGATGTAAGTAGAAATGCAAGTACTCTGATCAACCTGATACGACCTGTTCTCTGTGGGGATGATCCACTCTGCCGCAACTATTCGTACTTGTTGGACGTAGTTAAGCAGAATATCGAGATCAACAACGATATGGGGGAGCCAACTGAAGAAACAAGGGATCTGGCTCTTCGACTTAGGTCATTTGAGATGCTTCTTTCTGAAATAGTCTACCATTTGCAGTACAACTCATTTCAAGGCAGTTTGAGAAAAGTGGGAAATGGATTTGCAGAACTAACAGAAGAATTACGTAGATTTTCACTGCTTGATTCAATCAAAAAGGAGCGTGTTCTGATTCAGTTTGCCAAGTGGCTTGAATTCTACTTCAGAAACAGAGTTACGCTGGCACTGTTCAAGACGAATTTCAATTGATGCATATTAAATCAGTCTTATGACGGAGTAACGGGCTGCTTATGATCCATATCAGAAATATCAGCGCAAAGAAGCCATAGCAGCCCGTAAAATTGAGTATGAAGTTGAGTTTGTACATAAATCTGTAGGGATAGAAGTGGAACCTAAACCAGCCTACCATAAAAAGGGTGGTGTAGAGCACGGCATGTGTTGCTACGATATAGATCATTCTCTTATGTTCTGTTTTGCCACCATATTTTCTAATTGCCAACAAATCTACTACACAAATAATCAGATTGCATCCATGTGTGTAGATTTCAAGTAGAATTTCGTGTGGTTTTCTGATTCTTCTTTGAGCTGGTGAAATGATCAATTCGGGTTTTGGCAACCTAATGCTCCAATAAACCAGGATTATCACAATGTTATAGCAAATGGTGTAATTCAACATATAACGAGCGATGCTCTTGATTCTGTTTTGTTCGTGCCCTAATGACTGAATCATTAACAATATACTGATCAATATGAATGTGAGTATTGATAATGTTGTACCGTTGAATGATAAATAATCTAATGGATACAATGTGGCCTTGTTGAATACCTTAACTGCCTTTTCATTATATAATGATTTTGTCATACATAATACTGAACAGATTACTCCAAAAACATTCAGGAAATAAATTGCTATGTTTCTACTTAATATTCTCCTGTTATCATTCTTGTTCTCACCATGCTTTACGATTCTGATACTCTTTACTCCTTCCATTTCCATCTGTTTTATAGGGGTATCCCAATAAGGAAACTTCCCTTTTAGCCCAATATTTTACCGTATACGAAATGGAGAACACTGCCAAATATCATTCCAATTCCACCCCAAATCAGATTTCCCAATACGCTAATTCCATTCATGAATGGATAGACAGGCGTATTTCGAATAGTGTTACAGTAAATCAAAATGACAGTGTAGCTTGCTGTTGAAACCGTTAAAAGTATAATCACCCAGTAACCGGAATGATACATCTTATTGCGTATTGCCGTATAAAGCAGTACAATCGTAGGAAGGATGTGTGTTACAACCTCTGCAAGAGCATGTTTGTATCCTTGTTGAGCTGCCTCTTCCTTGGTGTAGAAATTATTGGAATTATGAAACCGAATAACCCAATAAAGCAGCATAACAATTGTCTCGTAAATCAGTGCTATGGAGATTGTGACTCTGGCTGGACCATACATAATACTGAAGAGCATATTCAAAATGAATGCGATCAATGAGATCACAGTCATCATCAGACCATGAAGTGTGAAGACTGCAAGGCGACCTATCACAATTTCATTAAACCGCTTGATTTGATTCTCCTCATATGGAATCATGGTCAGATACAAGGCAAACACTGACGTAATGAGTGTGTAGATAAGCAGTCTAGTTCCAACATAATTTGTTTGTGTTGGTTTTTTCTGTCTTTTTACTTTTACTACCATTAGGAGGGTAAAAATATCAATTCATCTTAGATGACACTTTATTAAACAGGTAGTAACATTTTCTATTTCATAAAACACCTCAACCATCCAGGTTGTTGGAGGATTATATTTTAAATAAATCTAATTCACCAGTTTATTCTTTCTTTTCATCACTTTCTGATCAATTAACCAATATGCAAAATGAAAGACAATAAATATGCCCAATCCAACTAGCACCAGGTATAGCAAATTAATTGGTGTGTAATTGGCTGTGAACTTATATACTGGTGTCTTCTTGATAATATTGCAATAATACAGTACTAAATAATAGTAGATTGCAAATATTAATGGTGGAATCAATGAGGTGAATTTGGCTATGAACACATCAGCCACAATGAATGTGAATAGTAGCACACAGTATGGCAGGATATGGGTCGAAATATCCGCAATCAGATCCCATGCACCTGATTCTGCAATCTGTTGTTCCGTTTTAAAGTTCTTTGGATCTTGTAAATAGATCACCCAAAACAATATGGTGATCACCGTCTGAATATTGATTGATAGCGTAAATAGTGACTTCTCTGCCATTGCAAGGTATTTGTTTTGCTCTGACATCATGTTATTCAAAACATAAACAAGTATGAAAGTGCATGTCAGAATTAGACCATTATAGGTGAGGTGAGATAGCTTTCCTAGCGCAGTATTATTCTCTCTCATGCTCTCTGGATACGCAAAATCAAACAAGAACATCGTAAGCCATCCTAGCATCAAAATGTAGAATATTAATCCGATAAATTTTTTATCCATGAGTAGTATAGATCAAAATTAACATATTTGATCTGATATACTATGAATCACTGTTCTATATATTCTGGTGACCCAAAACAAGCAAACATAAAAGTAAAACATAAACAGAGTCCATAAATGTTTCAGATCAACCTGATTCTATGTAGATTCGAATACATGCATGAGTTTAATTCACATAGTATATTTGGGAAGTACTATAACACAACACCATTTAATAGCGATGATATTACGCGCAATTACCCGAATAAGAAAGCCGAGAGAATTGATCAATTTATGAGAAACATGAGTGGTTTCAAAAAGTGCTTGGATGGGTTCTTTGGTACTGGATTAATAAGACGAGAGTATTTGATAACACAGGTAAAGAAACTGGAAGCACAAGGAGCTAGGGAACACGCTGATTTTCTGAGACACCTGCAAAGTTGTAAGGAGGAAGAGAACATATTCAATATAATGCAAAATATGAGAGATATCCTAAGTAACAGAGACGAATTCATTACTGAAATAGCAGAGAATATGATTGAAATCAGAAACATGATGGAGTTTAAAGAATTGCGACAAGGAAAGATGTTTACTGACTTAATGAGCAGAACACTGGAGCTTTACTACGCATATGATGACAAATTGAACCAAGAACAAGGAATTGAAAACAGGAGAAGAGGATATGATTGAGGAATAAAAAGAAGCCCAAATATTTCATGGGGAATTTGAAGAAAATCAAGAAAATAAAAAAGATGAAATACAAAAAGAAGGAGAAAGAGGAGTTGTTGGAAGCAGACAGTTCAATAGAGGAGAAAAACATTCTCAAATACACACTCGTAGACAACTTGCATAGGCCACCATACCAAGTGATTCTTGATACCAATTTCATAAATGACTGTATTAGGAAGAAGATAGAGCCAGTGGATGTACTGATGGAAGCACTCAATGCGAATGTTGATATTTACATCACAGAATGCGTCTTTGGTGAGTTAGAGAAGCTGGGTCGCGTATTTAGAATCGCACTAAACATGATTAAGCGAATTAATCATACCAGACTGATTTGCGACCATAAGGGAACATATGCAGATAACTGCTTGTTAAACAGAGTCAGAATGAACAAGGTGTTCTTTGTTGCGACATCTGACGTGAATTTGAAGCAAAGAATCACCAAGAAGTGTGGAACACCAGTCTTAATATTCAGAGGACGAAAATTAGTTGCAGAAAACTTCCATAGTTTGGTGTGATTCTTTACTAGAGCGACTTCTTGAATAATTGCGAGTTACTAGCTACATAAATTACACCATCAAATACAATTACGCCATTGATCTGCCAGTGAAATTCGTGGATTTTGGTTGTTTTACCATTCACCTGTACATAAACTCTTTTATGTACTGAATAAACCATCTTATTTTGATCTTTATAGATCAATCGTGCTTTTCTTAGTTCATTTGGTAATACTACTTTGCTAACTCTATTCTTGTGTATTCTGTACATTATACACTTCAGCGTGCTTACGTAGATCTCATCATTGATTATCGTGTAATCAAGAATCTCATTATCAAATTGATATGTTTCTTTGTTGTCTGTAATCAAATTCAATTCCATTAGTCTCGTATCATCAAACCAATAAACATTATCATTTCTAACCTGAATGTTTTTGACTTGCTCATCCTCTTTTAAATTATGTACCACCTTGTTGTTCAACTGTATTTGATGGCTATTTGCTTGTACCACATTCTTTTGGTCAGCATAGAAATCTAAAGCTCCATCAATCAATTCATCTCGTTTCTTTTTTGAATTGTAAGAAACAATTTGATTTTCATGTACATAATACATGTCATTTGACTCCATTTTAACCATTTCTGTCTGTACAGAACATTCTAATGCATTATCATTCACTTCATTCTTATACACTTTCATTGTTTTACTGTATAAATGTACAAAAATGTGAGTAGAAGTAGAATATAGCCCAATGATGCATTCATCATATTCCTGTGAACATTCTGAGCTATTATCAACTACTACAAACTCAATTATGTTGGCTTCCTCTTGTGAAAGCATATTTAAATTTGAGTCATTCAATTTTGTTTCACCAAAATAGAACAAAAGTGTCTTATTCATGTATCTTTCTTGCGTTTGGTATAGGAATTCTGTCAGAATATCCAATGATTTCATCTCTTGTACTTGAAATGAGAATTCTTCATCTGATAATCGCTCTAGTAACTTTACAATCATGATATGGTTAAATTTTGCATAAATCAATTTAAGCTTATTTTACATATAAAGAGACGCTGTTTCATACCCATGATCCTAGTTTACCTAATTCCACTTATCCAATGCGTTGAGTCCTGCACTGATCAACACACTTCACCCAATCCAGTGACAGGGTCTCAAAGTGAACCTGACACATTTGCGCTTTCTTACAGAGATGGTGCCTCTTTTAACTTTGAATCAAAAATCCACAACCTAAAAGAGGTTATTGATGTTACCTTTGGACATGCCGTTGGTATATTTACGAAGATGTTTGACGAACTGGCAAGACACAATCATCAACAGAATAACCAACCAGAATCAAATGTGCAATTAGTAGCTCAATGTACTGAATTGGAGAGGAAAATCTCGAATATCGAAGAAGTGCTCAGTAGAGTTCTCAATGTTGATAAATCCAAGGAAGAAAATGAGCAATTTGAAAATAACAGTGGAATTGAAACAACAAGTGGTGTTGATGAGTTAAATGGAAACAGCCTGAGTAAAAGTGAAGATCGCCACTCTGACAGAAGTCTGAATGACCTTGATAACATCCCAAATAGCCCAAAACCAAACACATTTGTACCGAATATTTGTGAAACAAATATTGATCAAGACAAAAATGTTGAATCCAATCGGAATACAAAGGCACCTAAGGATGAAACAAGTGAGGAAAACAATGAGGAAAAGGTGGATCCGCCTAAAACAACCATTGCTGTACCAGAGGATACAAAACAGGTTGTAGAAGTTATTGATGAGGAAGTTGTCATTGCAGTGGTACCTGTTACCATAACAAATATTCATTCAAATGACGTGAAAACCAAAACAGCTACTACAACAGTATGTCTGAGTAATTCCCCTAATCCAGTGGTATCAGAATAATTGATAAGAAAATAGTAGTTATTAGATTTTGTTTATTGTTGCATAAATAATAACATTTAGAATGACCCACTAATGGAATCCATTCTATTCAAGTGGTATAGTGTATATAAAAGAGTGTTTATTGAAGGAAATGTTACATTTCATAACGTAGCACAAGTTGTAGCCTGGAGTTTAGTGATTTGTATGGTTATATACCTGATTTGTCTCATTCTGTACACATTGATGCAAGTAGTACTGATTTACTTGAATCTAAGGCAGATTGAGAAGAATAAGGAACGGAAGATTGGAAAGATGGGCATAGGCGACAGATTCACAGACAGCAAGCTACAACTTGAGATCGACAGTAATGTGCTGTGAATAATTCAGGGTAAGATGGGTTTATGCAATTTAAGCTTATTTTACATATAAATCTTGATTTTTATGCACCATGCTTATGTCATTTCTCAGGTGGCTGAAATACTCAGGTGTCAAACAGACTGATGAGGACTCAAACGAGTTCTCTGTGGATGATTACACGGAACAGAGACAGCTGATTGAACAAGAAGCAGATCTGCCAACAGATTCAAGTTTCCACTCTGCTGCAACCAGAGTATTTCTCAGGTGCTTTATTGATGAACTGTTAAAGACCGTAAATGAATTGGTAGAAACCAAAGAGACTCATCCAACCGACAACTCAGAAGTAACAGAACTTAATGATAAGCTGATTCAGTACATCAAATCCAATGAAATCCCTTTGAGGGAAGTAGTAAAAATACCCCAAAATGAAGACTGAATTAAACAAAAAAATACTCAGAATTGCAGTGGTAGAAATTCTACTACAAACTGGATTTGAGAAGTGTACGGAGGAGTCTCTTAATGTGCTGAGTGAGGTCTTCTCCTACTACATTGAACAGGTCATTGCTGAAATACTCATTCCACAGACAGAAGTAGACGAATCACCAGGACCAAAGAAACTCAAGAAAGAAGAGACATTTTGTCCAGCCAAACTACTTCTAACTCGCTTCTACCACAATTCCCAGTACAATTATCAGGAAATGCTTCAGTTTCTGAATCAGCAAATTGGAATCGTAAGAATGCTACGAGACACTCCCAAAACCAAGACAAACCACACTGAGCCAAACAACATGCTCAGCATTCTCAAATTCCTTCCCAAAAACCAGTCATTGAAGAACCTGAGCAAAGCAGCCAGGCGAATTGAGGTTGAGGAGAAGAAAGAGAGCGAGGAAGAAGATGAGGCAGAAATGGACACATTTCTAGACAATTTTCTGAATGATTTCATAGAGAAATGTGTTATAAAATACCAAAATCACCCTGAGAAAGTCCCAGTTGAATACGAGTACGATCTGGGTCAGGCTATTTGTGAGAATAATGAAAATGGTGAGACTGAAAATGGAGTTGGATTTGAGCAGATTGAAACAGTGATGAATACGACTGAGAATGAGGAACAGCAAACATTCTTCAATGAATTTGGCAGGCCCAAGAAGAGGATGATCAAGAGAGTAAACAAAGAGAAGCATCCACTTGGTGGATGATGCATCTGACTACTCAGCCTACAAGCCACAAAACTCCCTGTATTTCATCTTCTTCTCCTCTATTCTCTTGGCTTCCCCCTCCATTTCCTCTACGATGCTTCTGTACAATCCAGCATAGTCCTTGGACTCCATCACCTTCTTGAACAAGTCAGCAGGCACATCCTCAATTTTCAGGCTGTTTTTGATGTAATTTGCACTCTGAAGAATGTTCTCGATCTCATTCGTGCAAAATGAGTCAGTTGACCTGTTTTCACACGTCTCCCTGATTCTCCTGAATGATTTCTGCATTGATTCCACCACATTCCTGAGCATATCAACGTGAATTCTGCTTGTTTTGATTCGTATTTTGCTCATGAAAAATAGCCCATGCAATCAGAGACACAATTTATTCTGAGACTACCGCCTGAGTTATCAGAAATGGATTTATCTGCTTGCAAGTTGAAGAAGATAAATAGCACATCAGTTGAACTGGTATACAAGAATAAAGTGTATACAGGGGTTATTGAGAGGCCACCAACCGTAATTGAGTCACAGAAGATCATAGAGAACAAAATGTACAAAATAGCAGATATTTCAGGAATAGTCAGAATATTCAGCAATAAGGAGGAAATGAGCAACAGAGCAGGCGAAGAGGAGGTGTTGACTCCGCCAATGCGATGGTGCAGGGAGAGGAGATTCAGGAAGTACGAGATGCGAATGAAGAAAGTGGTGGAAGTTGAGAAGCAACTTGCTAAGTTATTGGAGGAGGATGCAAAGGCAGTGAAGGTGGAGCTGATTCACCAGGAGGAAGAGGAATTGGATGAAATAGCAGCAGACTTGGAGCAGGGATTCGTGGAGAAGGACATAGCACAGGAGGAAGAAGAGAAAGAGAAGACGCCAAATGAAGTAGACAAGGAAATTGAGGAGAAGGAGAAGATGATTGAGAAGACGACCAATGTGGTGTTGAAGAAGAGATTCATTGAGGAATTGAGGATACTGAAGGAAAGGAAGAAGGATACGAACTGAGGGATTATGGAAAAAATAATAGAATGTGGATTAAGCTTAAATCACATTTATGCAAAAATTGTTTACTATGAATGGACATAAAAGGGTTTCCATTTCTCTGTTGTGGTTGCATCGCTGTCATTGCATTCTTGTTGTTCACGAAGATTGTTGTAGAACACTATTGCCACCATACGAGGATGAGAGAAATTGCAGCAGTGACTAACAATATTTATGAAGAAATAATGCCACCAAGTGCTCGCAAAAAGGGAAATGTGATCAAAGAAGCCACTAAAGTTTGATTATCTGCTGTTGTTGAATTTGCACTCATCTTTTACCACACATTGACTACACAATGGCACTGCTTTACAAATTACCTGACCGAATCCAACTAGGATTCTGTTTAAATCTTCAATGTCACTGTATTCTTTGTAGCTGAACACTTTGTCTGTTTCAATTGCGTTCTTTGTCTCTACAATTCCCAATCTGTTCAAAATTCTATGAACATGCAGATCAACACCAACCCCAATATCAATTTCCAGGGCTGTTTTTGAATAAATCTTCAATATTTTATTTCCAATTCCACTGATTCGTTTTAGTCTAATTACATCATCAAGAATACTCCCATCATTTACAACCACTCTACTCACCTCTTTTATCGTAGTTGATTTCCTCCTATAAAAGTTGATGCCTTTGATCATAGTCTCCAAATTGTTGATTTTTAGTATATTCTCAGGTGTGATTGTATCTATTTCGTTATTAAGATAATGAAATACTCTATGTGTTACCTCATCCTTAGACTGAATACTCAAAATTAGTTTGACCAATATTTGGAATTTTCTAATATTTAAATCCGTAGATGGCACCACAGATGCCCCCATTGTATCAACTGGTGCTACAATACTCATTCTACACATTTTAATAGTAGTCAATACTTCTATTTTTGATGATGATTCTTTCTTCATATTTTAACAGGGTAAAATATCGATCAAGTACGCCTAATTAAGCTTATTTTACATAAATACAGAAACAAACGTAGTTTATGCTACTTGAATACATTGCTCTCATTCACACACACGTTACACTCTACGGAATACGCGAGACACCGCTTGAAGAGAAGCTGGTGATTGCATCCAAATGCAACACCAAGGTCTCCGTCATCACTGACGCCGGAAACAAGCGAATCAAAAGAATGCTACGAAAATACAGAAATTCCACCGATGACATCAAATTCGTTTCAAGGGAAGAAATCAACCAGTTGGGAAACCTCACCAAAATTGGCCCAGAACCAAAATCAGCCAGCCCAAAATCACCGTTCAAGAGACCCCCTTCCAAAACACGCCCATTTGATTTCAACTTCTCGATCAAACTGTACAACATCACCAACTCAACCCTCTCATTCAAAATCAGCCCAAAATTCGACCTGGTTCTCAATGAAACTGCCAAACAGCCCCAAACCACCTTCAACTCCGTGCTTGTTTCTGCTGAATGCACCAACAACCTCTTTAAACTGCTTCTAATTCAAAACAGTGACGATACCATTGCAGCCTGTAGCAATGACACCCATTCTGCCTTCTGCAGCAGTCTCACACAGTCGGAATTGAATTCAATCGCCCTGGAAATGATGGCAAATGGAGAGAAATCAAGGTCAATCAGCCACCCAAATGAGTTATTCTGCGATGAGTCACTCAGTGACATGGACTCCGATGAAAAATCAGATGAAATCGTGGCCCAGGAGCACATCCCCAACTCCTGTGGTCCCCTCTCTCCTGTTTCATTCCTACTCTTTTTCCTCTTCTAATTTACCCATGCCATTTGGATACAATTTCGATTTCTACGAGCCAAATGAGGATTCCTTCGTCTTCCTGGATCTGCTTCGGTCTGAGACAATCTCAGGCCAAGTTGTCTGTGACATGGGCTCAAGCACCGGCATCCTCAGCCGCCACCTCGATAACACCAACCTGGTTGTGAATGTCGACATAAATCGCATTGCTCTCCTCAACAACAGAAATGGAAACAGAATCCTCTCCAACTTGTTCACTGGGATAAATATCAATGCATTTGATACCGTGATATTCAATCCACCCTACGTGATAAACGAGGATGGCCCAGAATTCACTGATTCCAAACTGAATTCAGTGGTGCTTGAGGGTGGCCCAGATGGATGTGCTGTGATTGATGAATTCCTCCAATTGGTCAATCACAGTCGAGTCCGCCTGGTCTATCTTCTCTGTATCGCTGCAAATGAAACCAGGCAGAAAATACCTGATAAAATTGACAGTGACAAGTACACCGTAAAAGAAAGGGCCAGAAAGAAGATCGTTGGTGAAACCCTGATAATTTACGAAATCAGACGAAACTGAAATCAGCAAATCAAGAGACCAATCACTTCATTGATTCCAGCTGCCCCATTGCATCAGCAACCACCTCGTCCTTCTCTCTCTCACCATCAACCTCAATCAGCCTGTTCTCCGCCCTGAATGCCTCTATCACTGGCATAGTCAACTCGTTGTAGTTCTTGATTCGCTGCCTGAATGCATCCGTGTTGTCATCAGACCGCACCACTTCCTCCTTCTCTGCCCTATCCCTCATTCGCTCCACTGCCGTATCCACCTCAATGCGAATGAATACCGCAACATCAACTGGAAATACGCCCTTTTGGCTAATTCGCCTAGGAAACCCATCCAACAAGTACCCATCAGATGGAAGTGCATTCCGAATGAGATGGATTATCAGTTCATCACCAGCAAAGTTCCCATTTCCAAGTGTCTTGCCCAGACTGCAACTGCTTCCCATTTCACTCATGTACTCCCGCAGCAAATCACCACTAGAAATGTGAGTCAGGTTCATCTTCTCTTTCAGCCTGGCACAAAGTGTCCCCTTCCCTGAAGCAGGTAGTCCAAAGACAGCTACTTTCATAAGGGGCTATAAAACGTGTACATCAATAGCCAATCAGAGTGATTTGATTGACGTTTCTTCAAGAATTGCCCTGGTTGATCAAACCAGTACCAATACTCAAAATATTTGGTTGATCAACATCAGATGATCAATCAGGTGATCTGATCTGACTGATCTGATCATCAGGGTGGTGTAGAATCGTACACCTCAATCACACTACCAATATTGATTTCCAACACTTTCATCAGTAACCCCTCCATCAACAATTTTTTAGACTGAATACGAAGATGAATCTGCCCCATTAGCCCATCAATCACTTCATCACCATGCACACCATTCTATCCCTCTCCATCAGGTACAGCACGTTCCCATCAACTGCGTACTTCTTGACGTGGATTCTCTTTCTGTTGATGAAGTTTGTTTCGTCCCTGAAAAGGAGTATTCCACTTCTGGTGACCCTGATCATAAAGGCAGATTGGACCAAGTTGTTTGGATTCTTCTGAAGGTGACTTCGATCAGTCTCATTCAGGTACTCGTCGTACCACCTGACTGGTGCTGATCCATACTCCACCTCTAGTCCATTGGCGTATTCACGAATGTTGGTGATATCCTCCCCACTCATGTGCTGGATGATTCCCTCCAAATACGTGTCATACCGTGGCACATCCACCAGTCTCAACAGCACTTTTAGGAAGACTCGTCTAATTCTGTTTCGCCTGAAACTGTAGAAGAAGATGCAACTCATCCTGATCTGCTTCAACAGTGATATCCTGATACGGTCTGAATGCTGCCTGATTCGGTATAGTTCAAGGGTGTTGTTTCTGACTACGAGCATCCTCCCATCCAGAACAACGAAGTCATCTGCTGCCACTGCTATCTCATCAAATGTGACTGAATCACAGCTGAATGTCTGTCTCGTGTTCTGGATGAGTCTGATTCTGCTGATATCCACCATTCTGTACCCTGGAACAGTCAGATTCAGTAGGTGTTCAATTGTATCAGCCTTATTCTCCATCTACAGTTTGATTATGGGTGTTTTATAGTAAGGTGAAACAATACCGTAATAGTTGCTACCACTTTATTCCTCCTTGACTCTCACGTCCTTCGTGTCGCAGGCTAGTAGCACGTTTAGTCTTCTCTCAGTCACCTTCTTCTTCATCTCCTTCAGCAACTTGGCCTTGAACTCCCCCTCAATTGGCTTTCCTTCTTCTGCTACCACCAGATCCTCCTTCAACTCGAACTCGTCAACGAGCTTCTCGCTCTTGAGCAGTGCAATGAGTGCCCTGTTCTTCAGCTCCTGCTTCTCCAGCACAATTCTCTCACAGCTCTCCTCTCCTGCTTCGCCGTAGACCCTGTAACTGAACTTCTTGAATTCCTCTGTATCGTCACAGAAGCAGAGGAGGAAGTTTCTTGCGTAGTCGAATTCAACTCCCTTAGCGAACTCAAAGAACTTCCTGAAAACGGCCTTCTTGATGCATAAAATGGCTGAATCAGCAATTTCCCTGCACTTGTTGATTTCAGAGGCAGGAAGTGCCTCCTTCTCGATCACAAGCAGCTCCTTGTGCTGTCTGAGCAGCTCCTTAGCCCTTTGAACCGTCTTGGCCTTCGTCATCTTTGACTTCACTGGTGCTGTCTCACTCTTCTTGCTCTTTTTGGTTTTATCGTCCTTTCCTTCCAGTACAACTTCCTGGCCAATCTCCTCCTCCTTTGCTTCCACGCTGTTTTTCATGTTCTCTTTTTTCACTTCTGTCATAATGGGTGAAAAATAGTAGAAGAATAAATGACATTATTAATAATGGTGGTGGTAGTAGTAATGGTATTAGTAGTAGTAATTATAGTAACAACATACAGTACAATATAGTATACTACTCTTTGTGGGTGAAATATTTATTCACCCATTTAAATCAGGTATATCTGTTATATCCCCCCTACTCTTTTCCTTACCAAATATCTTGTATTCTTTCACCTTGCTCTCATTCTCATACATCCTATGCAACTGTCTTCCCCTGTATCGAGCCAGGTAGCTCTTAACCACCCCAACTCCACCTCGTCTATCCATATTCCTGATCTGTGACCTAATTGATTCAACCTGATCAGAATCAACACGTAGAACACGCACGAACGAGCCAGGTGCACGAATCAGCAGCCACGCCAGGGCAGTTGCAATCTGCCCCTGTGCTGGCAGCATGTGCGGCAGGGAGTAGCACGTCATCAAGCTGTATACGGCCCTATCTAAGTTTGATTCATTTCCCATTTCAGGGTGTGATTCACCACTTTTGGCTGAAGACGCCCTATTGAACTCCTGGTTGACAATGAGCAGAATTCTGTTTACAACTGGCGCATAGTCGATGTACAACAAGTCAAACAGGAGCCAGAAGGTGGCTGGGCTGACTCGAAGACGCGTCTCCATCAGGCCAAGGAGACCCCTTGCTGCCAAATAGTACTCCTTGTAGTCTCGTACGCCATCGTATTCCTCCACGAAGTGTGCCACCTCCTTCTGGATGAAGTAGTCTGCTACTTCTGGGTGGCGGCCTATCAGATCGGTGTTCATGCAACAAATATCAGAAAATGGGTAGGTTTGAAATTGGTCGAAAACAAATTCGAGGATTCGACGGGATTCGAACTCATCGAGGCCGAGTCGGCTGAGAATCGCAAAACAGCGGTCAAAGGGGCAGTTTGCTGCAAAGTAGCTGAGATAGGCCTCCTTGTACTGGGAGTAGTGGGACGAGTCTGCCTTGAGGTAGAAGAAGTAGCGGATGGCAGAAGAGGGCGAGTTGAATTCAATGGAGACGTGTCGGCCCAGTCTGCTATCAATGGCAGCCAGTATCTCGTAATTGAAGCTGTGACTGAGGTGGTCGCAGACTAAGGCGTAGAGACGGCCAAATGGCGCCTTGTCTGCCGTACGGCCGTAGAAGCGCTCTACGACATTCACGGCCGTCCTAGTCTGCTCCTTGTCGCCGTAATCCAGCTGCTCAAGGAGTCCAACACACCTTGGATCATCCATCAGGTAGCAGGCGTACGAATTCAGGTAGGCGCCAGAAAAGGAGGAGTCAGCCAAAATGGCTGGATTCGTTTTGTGAATTTTGTAGAGGCAGCTTGTGACAAATCGACTTTCTGTCTTCGACTCGGCCTGGACCAGGTAGCCGAGAACAGTCGCAGGGTGGCTTCGAGAGGCAGCAGAAAGCACCTGAAACAGCGCAGTCTCGGCCTCCTGGGCCTCGTCCTCCTCAATTTCCTTCACTTTCGTCAATGCCTCCTCCAATACGCCTGTGACCACACTTCCTGGGACTCCCTCGTTTCCCAGCACCCTGGCCCAGTACCCAAGTGACTGAACCATCGTCTCTGACTCGCCAATGCCCCTGAACATGTACTTCATCACCCTCTGATCCGTGTTGGCCCTGGTGAAGAATGCATCAATCAGATTCAAATCGGGTTGAAAGTGCTCAAGCAGCCCAATCAGCCTCTCCTCGTCCGTTCCACTCTTTCCAGCCTCAACAAAGAACTCAACTGCCTCATTTGGGTGGGAAGGAGCTTCCTTGTAAACCAAATCAAAATTGATCAACTTTGGTGCCATCGTAAGGAGCTCCTTCTTGATTCTGATTGCCAGTCTGACGTCTTCTGAATCGGTGCTCCGGTCTACCACCTCTCCCAGTCCATCAAGTGTGCTCACTGCCTTCTTCAGCTCGCTCCTTCTTTTTTGATCAATTTCAGTGCTGTAATTGATTTCAGTCAGAAAGGCGTGGAGGAGTCTCAGGCCGAATGAGGCAGTGGCCTGGCTGCTCAGGGCACCGTGGATCACGGGAATGAAGTTGGTGAGAAGAGTGGGCCAGCAGTGGAGTGCAAGTAGGACGTAGGAGTCGATCACGCAGGGTCGGACTGGATTTCCACTTCCAACAGCCCTGTTCAAGTAGCCTTCGATAAATTGGGCTGTCTCGTTGTACGCCTTGTTCTGCCTTATTTTTGTTTCGACTATTTTGAACAGGTAGAACGTGGCTACGGAATTGGATGGATCAATTTGGGATGCCAGGCTGTAGACTCCTTCAATACTCCCATTAGCGAGGCTGTTTATCTCCTTCTCTATTTCGTAGATGACTTGTGGGTTACGTGAGAGGTCGTTGATGAGGTCTAGTAAACGCATTGGGGATAAAAATGGAGATGTTTGAAAAGAGTGTTGGTTACGGCTGAAATGGGGCACTGCCACTCCAATGAGACCATAGCTGTGCGACTATCACCTATTTGTAGATTAATTTAATTGGTATTTGATATTATGATTTTGTACCATTTTTTACAAAAATTCTCAAATATCCCCAAATGGGTTCACGCAAATCAATGCTGGTGAAGAAGAGACTGACAAGGGCGTTTGTGAGAAACAGCACAATGCCAACATGGAAGAGACTGCTGCCTGAGAACAGGTACAAGCAGGCACGAAACAAGGCACGACGCAACTGGAGATCGACCAAGTTGAAGATTCATTAAATTTTACCCCAGAATGCGTAGGAGGATAAGTCAGTTGATTTTTAGAAGAAATTTGGGTGGAATTGAGACTGGGGCAGAAGCAAAGAGAAGGCTAAATGAGATTAAGAAAGTGAAGAATGAGATTGAGGAGAGTGGTAGAAGAGGGAAGGATAGCAGTATGCTTGAATTCAGAGTGTATAGGAATGAAGCAAGAAAGAGAATGGTGCTATTGAAGAAGGTACAGGAGGAGATGCAGGGGGTGAATCAGGAAATAGGAAGAATCAACAAGAAGATAGAGAATGAGTATATGGCAGTGGAGAGAGTGAATAGGATAATCAGGTACGAGGATGAGGATGAGACAGTGGTGGAAAACAGGGAGAGTAGAGCAGTAGAAGGAAGAGAGAAGGAGTTGAGAGAGGAGCTGGAAAAAGTGAGAGAGAGGAGAGTTGAACTCGAGGCATTGGTTGATGAATTGACCAGTGAAAAGTGATACGAGAATTGGAGCAGGCCCAATATAAAGGGGATGCACTATGAACAGAAGTATATTGAGCACAATATGAGCAATATGGTGAAACATGTTATGGGGAAGCATCTTGATTGGTGTGATTGGGATGGAATGCAACTGGAACGGGTGCTACGGAATCAGGTAGTGATAAATGAGAGACTGTTGAGGAATAGGAGAATGCTGGAAATACGGCTGAGAAATAGGCTGAAATACGAGGATGTGAAACAGGTTGTGGATCCAGAACGAGTTGACTTCAGTCTCATTCATCGTATCATAGATCCAATATACAAGAATAGAAGAGATAAGAGTCTCTGTATAAGTGAGAGAATCAAGAGAGCAGGAAAGAAGATTGAACACGGAATAAAGAGGAAGATTCTGCTATGGAGAATGAGGTACGGGAATGATCCATTTAGGTAGGTTGGTATTTATACTTGATCAGTCTCAATCATTGATGTTTTCAAACACGTTTCCGTTGTTCGCATAGTCTTCTGCAACCTGATGACCTACTTTTCTCTTTTCTTCATCCTCCTTGTGCTCCAGTAAACCAGTTCGCTTGTACGTCTCCTCACGCAGCTGCACTGTTGAGCTGTCTATGACTAATAGTATTCTGAATATTAGCAACATAAAGGTGCAATAAAAGGATTCATATACTAATAAAGGAGATATTACCAGTATTATATATTATATAAGTCAATCATTAACCAATAAAATGTGTTAGACTAATATTGTTGTTGTCGTACGGTGGCTCATCGTGTGCTTTGACACGGACATGTTTATGGTTAGACGATTTACTCATTGATTCTGTGGGGTTTTTCCCTGTTTATATACTACGAACTGTTGATCAACAAATAACAATAAACATATCAAGACATCAGACACGACGCATTGTCTTCAATCTGACAATCGGATTGAACGGCAACAATTGTAGAATACGTTTAATTGTAACTCTTTCTATAAAATTGGTTTAGTTCAGTCATTTGCCTTCTTTTCTTCTTCTTCCTCCTCTTCTGGTCCTTCAGTCGATGGATTTGCCTTATTTGTTGTCCCTGTTGTTTCTGTTGTGCCAGTGGTTCCAAATAGTCCAGCTAGTGCTCTATTCAGCATTATGAGTAGAATGGCGTACATAGTTTACTCCTATAACACATTTTTAAATGTATAAAGGAGTGTCATACTAATTCATTGGTTGGTAATCCATTGAACCATTCTCTACCCTTCTGGTGCATTATCATTGTTGTCATAATTCTCGTTATTCTCATCGTTATCGTAGTATCCTTCTTCTTCTGGATAGTATGTTCCTCCACCACCAATAATGCCTAGTGATTTCAACAGATATAATGCCAATAATGTAATGCAAATCATTGCCAGAATCAGCCACTTCAAGTACTCGTAGAACCATTTCCACTTTGTTTTGATCGACGTCTCCTTCAACTTGGCCGTAGACTTCTCAATCTTCATGGAACTCTTCAACACCTTCTTATTCAGGTCACTCAAATCCTGTGTCTCCTTCAGCCTCCCCTTCAACTTGTTTTGTAGTGCATTGACCTGTGCATCCACCTCGTTCGTCAGGTCGTCCTCACTCTGCATCTGCCCCATCTCATTGGCTCTTTTCTTAGTCTCCCACTCCCATTGGTCCCTTAGTTCTCAAACAACTCGTTAATTGCACTATAATTCAACTTGCTTGATACCTTCTTATCAAGAGACTTAAATGCCTCTTCAACTGTCTCAAAGTTATGCTTCTTCTTGCTTCTCTTTACCATACCCTTCTTATTCCTCTTCTTCTTTTCTGACTCCTTCACGTATTCCCCATACATCTCCTCCCACATCTTCGTCTTGTTCTCTACCTCACTCTCTTCCAGTATCATCTCATTCACAACCTCACTTGAGTTCTCGGCTATCTCTTCTTCTCTCTTCACCTTGTTTACCAGAATACGCCTAGTTTCACCAGTCTCCTTCCCTCCTTCTCTCGCATTTAGCACAGGTGGCTGTGACTCACTCACAAGCCACTCCCTGTTGAACTCATTCACGTCCATCGCTGCCGTTTCAGTTGCTGCTATCTCAGCCAGTCTCTTTGAAATGGTACTAGGAGCAGCATGGACAACCCGTGCCACCTCATTCACGTCCTTTGGCTCATTCAGAATGCGACTAGCAAGGAGAATGGCTGCTCCACATGCGTTATTTGGCTTCCTTCCTTCCATAATCCAGTCCTTCCTCATTCTGCTCAGAATCCTGGTGCTAAGCAGAATGATCTCCTTGGTGTTTCTGAACTTGAGCTGGCTTGCAAACCTGTGCAAATACATCGACATGTCTGTCATACTGTTCTGGATCTTATACGTCTCCAAATCAAAAGTGTTCCTTATTTTCAGGTATATTTTACCAATTTGGTACATGTCTATTCTGAGCACATTACTGAAGTCAATCAGCATGTGAGGCGTATTCTCCTGTCTACAACTGATGTATATGCACGCACTAAGCGTATAAAGGATGCTCTTTCCCTTTGTCAGGTTGTTGGCTAAACAGAGCTTGTACCACCGAAACGCAATGTCAGCGTGTTTCAGGTTGAGAGACAGCTTCGCACAGATGTTCTTGATCGTGTTCTTTATGTAGTAGCAGCTGTCTACGTACTTGGTTCCCACGTTCTTGTTCTCCACGTTCACAATCTGCCCATGTAGAGCTGACTTGTTCTGCACCTTCTCAAACTGTATCGTATTCACAATCATGTTCTCTTCCTGTATCATTCCACACTCCTCACAGCATATTATTCCACGAGTGCTATCTGTTTGCATCTCAGTTGATCCACAATTTGTGCACTGAGACTGCATTTAGGGGAAATAACAAAAATAATTTATAAATTAATTGAGTATAGATCAGTTGCTGTCATCACTGTGGAGTTCAAGGGGTCCTAGGCTGATTTCAGGCGTAACTTGGCCACCGGATAAGTCAGGATTTGATTGATGCCTTTGTCTTGATAAAAATGATCTTGTTAGGCAGCCACTGCACTGAATACCAAAGCAGCAAAGAAAGTAGTTGTAAAAAAGTCGCCTTGAACAGGAGCACTTTTCGTGAAAATGGGTGGTTTTAGGAGACCTGATTGCCTCGTAGTTTTGCTCAGATCCAGCAGGTGTCGATCTTTCTGATTTGATTGCACTGAATACGAGTGAACAGAAATAGATCAGTTGGAACATGGGTGAGCAAAATTGATCATATTGATCAGTCTTGCATTTCTGAATGATTTATTCAATTTGAGATAGTGGAGTTTCTGCCTTAATTCCTAGTTGAATGGAATCCAGGTGGCTTTGATCGCACCTGATCAGGCCTTCTTTTGTTCCTTTTTAGTCAATGATGAGGAATTCGGAGCATTGCTGTCACCTTCACCATCACAATCTGGATTTGCCCTCACTTTCTTGTCTTCATTCTTTTCAACTAACTTCTTGATCTCTACCTGTAGTTTCACTCTACACTTTTCGCATTCATTTCCACAACACCATATGAAGTAGTTGTAAACAAGTCTCCTTAAAACTTGAGGACACTTGCACTTCAGAACACCGTTATCGGACACGCTTTCACTGTACAATTCTGCCAGTTCATCTTGCGTAGAAGCTGCAAGTACAAATGAAACAATATTTATCAGCCTAAGCATGTTTGAGTACTGATCAGTGAAAACAGTTGTCGTAGTTTGGAAATAACAATTGCGCAGATACCGCAGTAATCACACTCATTCGATCAAAAGAATCTTTTTATTCATCCATGAAATCGAATGTTTCGCTATAGCATGGATTTGGATATGTTGCTCCTGGCCTTGTACGGTTTTCTTCTGTCTCCTCAATCAGTCTCATTAGTGACATTCTGCACGTATTGCATTCCCTACCAAAGCATTTGGCTATAAAGTTATAGAAGAAACGCCTTAGGAACCAGCAACCACATACAACGGTACCAGATTCAGAAATTTGTTGCCTATAAATATCTGGTAGTTCATCTTTATCAGGATTCGTTGTTTTCTGGCGCGTATTACCGTCTCCACGACCTGAATGCATCGCAGTATCAGATGATCCTCTATTCTGGTCACTTATACCGGCTGTCAGCACATATTGGATTAAATATGTCATACAGTTCATAACAGGTCTCTGTATCAGCAAATTTTTAAATTAAATCATGGTCAATATCAAATAATTTAAACAAAGAAAGAGTGAAAATGGCTTAGTTTTGTGACACACAATTCATAAAATCCAACAAACTCGCAAGATAAATTTTGTCAACTCTTTACCAGTAAATTACAATAAAGAAAAATGATCACCTTGGGTACTACTCGTTTATTGTTGGCAATCTATCTCTGTCATTTGCTTTAGTGCCTCTTTCTGTGCACTCATTCACGATAATTATGTTGTTGTATACGTTTGGATTTGATTTTATACCATGCGATGCACGATGGTATACAACGAGCTCTTCAGCAGATGATGAACTAGCGAATTCATGAGATTCACCATTAGAAGAAGTAGACCATGTACATAGTGCACCAATGCAACTTGATATGCTGTTGTAAATAAATTTCCAGAGACTAAAACAGCTGCAATATTCCACTGATTCTTCTTGCGATGAACTACTTGATGTGATCACTATCATTTTATCAGGTGAAATAGAAGTATTCCTATTTACGATTCGTCTTAACACAGTTCTACTGTTCATGTTGATATCTGATGCCAATATTAAATGTGCGTAATATAGTAGAATATTCATTGATGGGTAAAAATAGATAAATAAAGGTAATCAGTAAGTGGTTTTTTGATCACTTTAAGTATAGTTATGCGTATCCTCCTATTAAACTATCTGTTTGTATTCTGATCTAACACGCTTCCATTTGTCTTAATGGTGCGGTTCATCATTTTCTTTTCGGAATTCTGTTTTTTTTACCACGTTTCCTGCTATTAAGAAAATCTAACAATTTCTTACATGTTTCTTTGTATTTTCGTTTGTGTTTTAGCTTGGTCTCTTCTGTTGGTTCTCTGGTTAAGCTGCTATCGGTGTTTGGATTACTCTTCATCTCTTCCTGATTCACTGTGATCGGTAGAGAATCTGATTTTTTCTGTTGCATTTTAATTATTTCCTCTTCTAAACTAATTTTACAGTAACTACACTCAAATCCAATTGTACAGTATTCTCTTTGTATGTGATTCACACATACATTTTATCATTTCTTGATGGGTCCGTTCCTTATACAATTTTTCACATTGAGACTCATTCAAAAGATCTTCCTGATAAACGTCAGTGCCATATAAGACCATGGTAGGTAGACAATCACAGTTATCAACAGCAATCACCATCATTGACAACCAACGTAATATTCTAAGCATATTTAGGGTGTGAATATCTGATCAATATAATTTTTTCAAAAATGATTGTAAATAATAGTAATTGTATACTGGTATCTATGGTATTGTTCTACTTGTACATAATATTTCCTCTCATACTTTGACAGATCACTAAAACTGTCATTATTGAGTATTTAAAAAATACTGGAAAAGAGGTAAAATTTGAGTAAATGACTAAGACATGATGTAATTAATAGTGTGCTATAGTCCGTACTTCTGTTGTTTCCGTTCATCGCGTAAAGCCTCTCTTTAGGTCCTTCACCCGCAGGTTCCGATTCCTGGGTTGCTGATTCCGGTTTGTCGGCTGGATCCTCAGTAAGTACGTCCTGGGTAGCCTCTTGTTCCCCTGTTGGGGCTTCTGTCTCTTCGTCTGAAGAATCCAGATATTCTGTATAGAATTTGTTTAGTAAGTTTAATCGCATGTAGATAGGGTAATTTTCCCCCTTTATTAAATATGGCATGTGACCTCATGACATAGTGATTGATATCCGGTCTGAAGTCACACTACACGTATAACCCTAGACACGACAGAATGTTATTCACTCAATACTAGGTATAATCAATATTATTTGAGTCAATCAGCTACTTTTTATTCTTCAACAACATTTTCACCAGAATAAACCTTGTTTCTATAGAAGAAGATTCTCTTCTACCCAGTTTAATCATCAATATCCCAGTACAATTTATCAACCTAGTTTTGTGTTATTTTCTTTGCTTTTCTTGGTGGCTGTTTCCTTGTAGCCTCTCTTCCTACAATCACAATTGGTGGATTTGCCTTACTCTGTTTCCTCTTCATTCCTCTTTTAGCCCACTCTGTCTTCTTTGCTCTTTTAGTCCACTGTGTCCTTTTTCCCCTCCTACACTTTCTTCCTCTTCTATCTTTTTGTATGACATCTACAGTCATCTCCTTGGTTACACCCATCGTCTGTTCTACAACCAAAGCATCCCTCAAATCAAAAGGTGTTGATGCCTCTGGAGCTTTACTTGGCCCTGGAACTTCTTCTGGTTTCTGAACTTCTTTACCCTCATCTGATTTCTTGTCATCTTCTACTTTTATTTGATCTGCCACTTCCTGTAGTTCATCTATTCCAAATGGCTCCTTTTTCACTTCTTTCACACAATAATAGCACTCTATATCCAGGCATCTTCCAATTGTGTTGTAGAATACACGTCTTGGTAGTCGACAAAAACAATGATGTGGTCCATCCAGGTCAACGTACTCCAATGACGAGTCAACTGAATGACAATTCAACGATTCATCTGAATTAGCCTGACCACCAGCCATCACAATCCTATTAAAAATGATCCAAACAATCATATTAGGGTATTTATTGATCAAACAAATAAATAGTAAACAAACAGTAGTTAGTCAATTGTACCCCACCCATCATTCTCCTATAATACCCATAACTCCCCTATTACTTGAAATCCATTCTCTTTTTTGATCAAAATCCCCTCTCCCATGGAACTGAGTTCATTTTTCACAGAAGAAGATAGCAGCAATACCAAACAGGCTGAACTGATATGGAAGAACATCACACTCAAAACAGAGAAGAAGAAAGTGCTTCTAAATGGGGTTGATGGTAAAATAGAGCCTGGAACAATGGTAGCCCTGATGGGCAGTTCTGGTGCTGGTAAAACAACCCTTTTAAATTCGTTAACTGGTCGAATTCCTTCCAACCTCAACCTGACTGGTGAAATCCTCGTAAATGGGAGACCCAGAACGAACGAGTCGTGGTCGAACACCAGTGCATACGTGAGCCAGACATTCTACGCCTACGAAAACCAGACTGTAAAGGAGACTCTTCAGTTTGTCTCTCGAATAAAGAAGAGCAAGGAGAAGTCGCCTGACTACGACGAAGACGCCTTCATCAGGAACCTTCTTTCTGTTCTTCGCCTGCAGAATGTGCAGGAGAGCTACGTCGGAAAGCTCTCTGGTGGAGAGCGAATCAGGCTGAGTGTTGGACTGGAGCTGATTGGAAACCCAAGTCTCCTCTTCCTGGACGAGCCACTCTCTGGACTCGATTCAACCAATGCGACCAAAATACTCGAATTCCTCCATGGCCTGGCCAAAGCAGGTAAAACACTCATCGTCACCATCCACCAGCCCAGCTACAAAATGATCCAATTTTTTGATAAGATTTATTTGATGGCCCAGGGTGGACTCGTATTTGATGGAACCTGTTGCGACTGCATCGACTTCTTTGCTGAAAACGGCTATCCGCTGCCCCATCACACCAATCCAACCGATCACTTTCTTGATACGACTGCAGTTGATCCAGAAGAGGAGGCTGAATCGAGGAGGCGAATTGACTCGTTGAAGGAGGCCTGGATTAGGAGAAGCAAATCGTACGAAATCACCACTGATGCACCCCTAGGGGTAGTTAGTGACCAAAATGGCTGTCTCAGGCGACCAGTCTTCGTCGACATCCTTAGGCGTAACCTCGTTGACATTAGGCGGAATACGCCCTACCTAAAGACGAAGACCCTTCAGCGAGTTGTCATTTCTGCCCTACTAAGCGTAACCTACTGGTTTGTGGGGAAGAAGTCGCCTGTTTCAGTCTACTCCTTCAGGGGCATTCTCACGTTTCTGGTCATGAACGAGTTATTTGGAATATGTGGGCCAATCTTCAACATATTCAAACAGGAGCAACGAGTGATACTGAGAGAGAGGCAGAGTGGATTCTACAGCGGATACACAGTTTATTTGGCTCGATTTGTATCAGAGATGACTGTCCTGCTTCTACTGGAAATTCCGTACCTTACGGCAGTCTACGTCTTTACTGGATTCTTCGACAGTTTCCCACGTTACATCGTCTTCATGCTCATTCTGGTTTGTGAGATCATGTTTGGAGTCAGTCTGGGACTGACAGTGAGCATTGTTGCCCCTACGGCCAATACAGCACAGGCACTTGGTGCCACCCTATCAATTCTATTTATTCTTTATTCTGCTGCATTCATATCACCAGGTGATCTACCAGGATGGATCAGCTGGCTGATCTATCTCTCACCAGTGCATTACGCATTCAGGGCAGCAGTTCAGACGCAGTCTCAGGGAAAGAAGTTCACGTTTGAGGAGTCGAATTCACCTGTGATCAGCTCTGATGAATTGGTGACGTCATTTGGATTAGATGGGTTGAATACGCCAATATGTATTATGATGATGATTGTGTTTACAACACTGATGGGAGTGCTTGGATCAGTGACATTGCACTATCAGACAAGGAACAAGATAGTAAGTTAATGTGGTGGTAACTAATAAATTTACTACCTAATATTTCACTACCTAATATTTCACTTTCTACCTATTTCACTTTCTACCTATTTCACTACCTACTTCTTTACCTACCCCTAATATTCAATTCCCTTTATATTTCATGAAATCACCCCTTCCATGTCAAATATCCAAGACAACTCTTCTGAAAATGAGACATCACCTAAAAAGAGCAGCTCATTTGAGTCACTCAAAAGAGTACAACAAAACAATAGCAATGAAAATGCAATTGAAATCAGAGACGAGACCACAACCGACACCACCAGTATCCAGGTGGAACAGATTGATGCAATCAGCACAGTCAGCCCAAAGAGCAGAAATATCCAAATCAACCCAGCTTCCAACTCATCACAGTACGAAATTGATATCGCAAATATCAACTTCGATAGGGCACTAAACGAAAAGGGGGAGGTTGAAGTCGGTCTCACCTGGAACAACCTGAATGCCAAGAACAGGAATCACCGATCAGTCCTGGTCGACTGCTTTGGTGAAATCAGCCCAGGAACACTCGTCGCAATCGTAGGCCACGGCAACTCGGGGAAGTCGAAGCTGATCAGTGCCCTTTCTGGGCGGAATACGCGTGGAATGGCCATCACTGGTGACGTCAGAATCAATGGATCGAAACGAAGCCAATCGAACTGGTACTCGCTCAGCGCGTACATCAACAGCTCATTCGACACCTACGACCACCTGACGGTGGCTGAGACACTCGAATTCATCTGCACGGCCAAGAAGGACAACAACTTCTTCAGAATGTTCGACTACAAGAACGTGATGGACGACTTCAAGACGAATAAGCGGATATTTGTTGACTACGTCCTCCACTTTGTGGGACTGGAACGAAGCAAGGGCACTGCTGTTGGCCGCCTGAGTGATGGAGAGCGAATCAGGATGAATATTGGAACTGAACTAATTGGGAATCCAGGCATTCTCTTCCTGGACGAGCCAATACGGGACCTGGACATTTCAAACAGCCTGAAAATACTGAAAATATGCAGGAAGCTGGCTGACTCAGGAAAGACGGTGGTGATGAGTGCCGAGAATCCGACGTCGCAAATGGTGCCCTACTTCGACAGAATCCACCTTCTGGCTCGCGGTGGCCCCGTTTTCGACGGAACCGTCTCAGACGCAGTCACGCACTTTGGTGCCCTTGGCTTTCAACTTCGACCAAACTGCAACCCATTTGACTTCCTTCACAACGTAACAGCGGTGGATCAGACCGATTCAGGCGCCAGACTGGCCGGTCTCGAGAAGATATTCGAGTTGAAGAGGAGTTGGAAGAAGAGTCCCCTTCAGTCTGAAAAAAGTGATTTGTTGGGAGTTGAACCCGGGAGAAGGGTGCTTCTGGGAAGGAAGCTCAGTCTGAGAGAGAACCTTGATATTGTTGCAGCACTGATCAGAATATTCCTGATCAACTCGTTGAGGGACACGAGGTACCTGCTGACCAGGGGGACTGAGCTACTGGTCTCAGGCGGAGTCACCCTGCTGGTCCACTGGGACAGGAGTGGCGGGAGAAAGGGGGCAGGAATCACCGACTTCAGTGGCCTATTTATTGCCCTATTTGTGATCATTTTCTATACGGCAGCAGCAACAACCTGGGGCACATTCACGAAGGAGCAGAGGGTGGTGATCAGGGAGAGGTGGAAGGAGTACTACGGCAGTACGACAGGCTACCTGTGCAAACTGGTAGCCGTGACAATTCTATCAGTTCATTTTGTGGGCGTATTCATGGCCGTATTCTACTACGGTGGAATAGGCGGAACAAAGGGTGAAATTGCGTCACTGATTGGGGTGGCACAGCTGGGGGTGATGGAGGTGGCACTGGTTGTGCTGCTGATGAACATGATCAGCCAGTCAACGACGGCCATGTTCGTGGTGTCACTGACCTGCCTGGCCTCATCTGGGGCACTCTTTGTCTTTAGCTCATTTCACAGGTACAGCCAGAGAGTGGCCCAGTTTGTACCACTTCATATGACGTATAGGGCACTATTGATAATATTGATCAGAAATAGGAGTGAATTTGTGATTGGAGGGAAAGTGGTGAATGCTGGGGAGGTGGTGAGTGCGATGGACCTGGGCAGATTCAGTCTCTGGCAGTGCAACTCAATCGTACTAGGCAGAATGGCACTGCTGATATTGATCAGTATTCTGGTGATGATGGTGAAGACGAGAATGGGTGGAAATAGGAGTAAATTGGTATAGGCAGATTGGAATAATAGTTGTTGTTATTGTTGTTGTTTCATGATAGTTGGACTTGCTCTCAACCTGACTGCTGTTACTGCAATGGATTTCCATGATAAACTGAAGGAGTACTTTGGTGGAAACAAGAGGAGACTGGCGAAAGAGAGGGACGTCACCCTCTGTCTCGGAAACGAGGCATGCGACGTGGACTCGTTCATCAGCTCCCTCGTCACTGCCATCCACGACAATGCCATCCACGTGGTCTGCATGAACAGAGACGTATTCGAGGCCAAGGGAGACGTTGGATACGTCCTAGACCACTTTGGAATTGATAGGGACGACCTCGTCTACCTTGAGAGACCAATAGGCAACTTGACCACTGAACAGAGACGAGATGTAACCAGGCTGAACACGTACGAAGGTGGAAGACTGAAGGAGTCGAGGCGTCTCAGCAGCTACGATCCACGCCTCATCATCGTCGACCACAACGTGCCTGTCGATGAGTTGAAGGAGTACACGATCGACCTCATCGTGGACCACCACGAGTTGGCACGTGAGTCGATTCGTGCCCGTAGAATGTACATCGACCTCGATGTTGGATCGTGCTCCACTCTCATTTCCAAGTACATTGGCCACAGTCTGACAACAAATAAGGCAAACAAGAGCAGTGACTTCGAGTCGGCCACCTTTGTCTCCCACATTGCGAAGATGCTCCTTGTTCCGATAGTTCTGGACACCAGCAACTTCAAGCGGAGAGCAAGCCACTTTGATTTGGGCGAGTTTGAGCGGCTTCTGGGGCAGAGTAGCACGAGCAGGAAGGAGCTGCTTGCAATCAGAAAGGGAATTAGGAAGGGTAGGCTGAATGACGAGGGGCTACCAAATGACATCATCATGCAGAAGGACTTCAAGGTGTACCATCACAGGGGACTCAACTTTGGTTGTGCGACAGTGAAGTACAAGACGAAGAAGTGGGTGGAGAGGGAGTTGAAGAAGAACGTGAACATGGAGAGCTACCTGAACGACTTCAGGAGAAGACATGGGCTCGACTTCCTCTTTGTGAACAGGAAGAAGGGTCGCAAGAGGTGGCTTACGGTTGTAAACTGCACGTTTGAGAAGATGCTGGCAGAAGAGAACGGATTCAAGGCAGTGGAGTACAAGGGGCTTCATTACTACAAGATAGACGTGAAGTTGAGTAGGAAGGTGATGATGCCAATTGTGTTGAAGACGATAGACAGGATATACAAGAAGATGAAGAAGAGAGGAGAGGCAAGAGAGAAGGAGATTGAGACTGGGCTGAGTTTGGAGGAGATTAGGAAGGAGCTGGATGAGGAAAAGAGGGAGAAGTAGACTAGACTGGCTCATTTACACTTACTACAATCTTACTACACTTATTACACTTACTACAATCTTATTAGACCCATTCAACCTTACTACACTTACTACAATCTTATTACACCTATTCAACTTACTACACTTATTCTCCCTTGCCTATCTTCTTGAGGATATCCTTGTTGCCCTCGATTATCAGCTGGTTCACGAAGTCGTAGCTTCTGGTCGTCCTGACGGCCTTCAGGATGTCGGATCCCTGCAGAATCTTCCTCTTTCCCTCCTTCGTGTGCATCCAGGCGCGGATCGTCAGCTCCTCGATGAACTTCTCGGTAGTCAGCGCAAAGAGCACCGGGACTTCCTGGGCGATGATCTTCACCTCCTCCTCAACCTTCATAAGGCGCTTGATTCTGGCCAGGGGGAGTTTGACGCTCTTGAAGTTGAGTGGATTCTTGGTGGCTCGCTCTATTTCACGGCACCAGTACTCCTTGACCACGGCAGACTTGTCCAGAATGGGCGAGTATGCACAGAAGTCAGGTGATATATTTTGGTGGGAGAAGAGGATCTGGTTGGAGTTGTCTGGGTCGGAACACGAGGACTGTTCTGGGCGATTCAGGAAATCCATGGGACTCAGGCGAGTGGCCAATTTAGGAGGAATTGAAACAGAAACAAAACAGTCACGAATTGAGACTCGAAACTAGCCCAGACAGGGCGGATCTTCTTGCGGCATCGATGGTGAGTGGATCGCCCGTGATGAACGGGTGGCCAAGAAGCTCGTCGATCTTGATTCGCTTCTCTTTGTCGCTGACTACGCAGAGAGCCACGAAGTCACGCAATTCGTAGGAGAAGTTTGTGTTGAAGCTGTACTCTCTGAAGAAGTCGCGTCTGAAGCTGCTCTGTCTACACCCATTCGCCCTCCTGTAGCACTCATCTGACTTGTTGATGGCACCTGCGTACATCAGTGAGACACCAAGGCCAAAGATGTCAGAGAAGCGGCCAACTCTCCCATTTTTCCACTCGTTGTATAGGCGGAATCCCATTGTGAAGAAGTGTTTGATTACAAATCCAACTGATCCTGGCTTATCGTCCGGTATTCTGGTGACTGTGTCCAGGTCAATGAGTTTGAAGAGAAGCTTCCCGTTTTGGATGCATCCTTGGACATTCGCAGGCTTGAAGTCGATGTGTGCCATTCCTGCATCGTGTAACGCCTTGAATCCAGCCAGAACATCCCTGCTGAATATTCGCATGAGAATCTCTTTCTTAGGGTAATCAACTTTACCACTTTTATCAGTCAACTCAAATGTATCCTTGCTATTACGCAAGTTGCCTGTGATTGGCAGGTATTCGGATATCACAACCCACCCTACGTAATTCTTCTGGGGCTTTTTACCGTGCACGAAATCAGCCCTTATCCAATCGGTTGTTCTCATCAGGTTGTTGCTGGCCAACTTTTCAATTGGATCAAAGACAGTGCTTTTTGGTGAGTAGGCGAGATTGGTTGATGGTTTCAGCAGTTTGAACACCAATTTGACATTTTTATAGTCGAAAAAGGCGATTTCATTGTTGATAAAATTGATTGGGAGTCCCATTACGTCTATCGACTTAAACGCATTACTTCCTTGTCCTATTTGGTAGGGTATTACTGAGCTTCTTATGAAATTAACGGTGTCATCGTATTTCTGTTTCAAATCAGGGTCGCTTTTAAACAATCCTACTATTTCTTCTAGAGTGGGAATATTCTGATACTTGATCATTGATTTTGGCAAGTCGAATTTGTATAGTGGTGATTCAGGTGTAATTGTGCCACTTTTTGATCCGGTATCTTGTGGTGGATTTAATGATGGTTTTTTAATCTTTCTATTTTTCACTCTTCTGTATAAATAATGTGTTACTCCCAATACTGTTGCTAATATTATTGCAACTAGCACCACTTGCAAGATATTTTTACTCTTCCTATTCATTATCAGGGTTGCAAGGAGTTTGAAAGTGGTTCCCCCTTTAGAAATGAATCATATTATTTTTTCATCAAAACAGGGTTTGCCATGAATCAGTGAATCTGTTGACACCAATGGGTGTCTATCAACCAATTTCTTCTAATTCGTTATATTAATTTCTCCTATTGTGTTTCAATGACAGAACCATAAAATCATATTTCAGTTCAACAATTACTGCGGGACTACTGTTTACTTGTTCGTCTTCTAAGTTAGATGTCATTGTCTTGTTCGTTTTGTCTTTATTAGAGAAACAGGTCATGATGTGTTTTGTGACAGGGTTATTTTCTAATTGTGATTTGTTTTATGCTTTTTACGCTTAATTGTGTTTATGCAAATAGTAAGCTTCCCATTCAGTTAAATATCCCTGACTTATTTTAATTCGATTACCTTATTGTTGCTACTCAAATTGATTCACCCTGTCTTCTTCTATCCAATCCCATCTTATGCACCAAATACTCCTTCCTATACACATCTCTACCCAACTTATCTTAATTGTCACAATTTCTTCTTTTTCCATTTTTGCCTAATACATTTTTCACCCCATATGAACTACGAAGACGATGATAGCACAATCACATCACAGTCCTCATTGGACCCACACACAACCACAACAGAAGACGTAGCAGAGATCCCAGCAAACCAGCCCATGACAGAACAGCCACTTGCCACTCTACTTGCTGAATTCCTGAACAAGAACTACCTTGATGCAATCAGGGAGATGTGTGCTGCCAATAAAGAGGCAATTGACATCGAATACAACGACCTAATTGCAAATGAGAACATCAAGGAGCACCTCGATGCCAATGCTGAGCTATTCATTGATTCGCTCTCAGAAGCCCTTAAAAAAGTCACCCTTCAGTATTTCCCAAACTACCTGAATATCAAGAGTGTCCTATATGGCCACATTATTGGACTACCTGTGATTGAAGAGATCAGGGCATTGCGAAATGAGCACCTGAACAGACTCATCCGAATCACTGGAGTTGTCACCAAAAGGCATCAACTGCAGTCCAAAGTCAAAATAGCCTATTTCACCTGTACAGCCTGTAAAGCAGTTACTGGCCCCTACAAAGTGGAGACAAACCTGAAAGTGACCTGTTTTGAGTGCCAGAATGGGAGCAAAATGATTCTAAATGCACCACGAAGCCACTACGAGGACGTACAGAAGATTGTGGTACAAGAGATGCCAGGAACTGTCCCAGCTGGCTCATTGCCTCGTAGCAGGGAAGTTGTACTCTTTGGTGACCTGATCGACAGGGTCAAACCGGGTGATGAAATTGATCTTTGTGGACTGTACAGGAATGTCTCTTTGCAGCAGAAGAACGTGAGTTTCCCAGTCTTCCACACCCAAATTCAGGCATGTGGCCTACTCCACAAAAAGGCAACCAAAACTGAGAACATCGATTTCAAGAAGATGGCAGCTGATCAGAATATTCTGACGAAACTGATCAACAGTTTTGCTCCATCAATTTATGGCTACAAAAATATCAAAGTGGCCTTGTTGCTTGCTCTGGTTGGTGGATGCAGGAAGGAGAAGGAGCAGATGGTGCTGAGAGGAGACATCAACGTCCTGTTGCTTGGTGATCCATCAACGGCCAAGTCGCAGTTTCTGAGATTCGTTCAATCTGTGGCAGAAAGAGGCGTCCTGGCAACAGGTCAGGGAGCATCGGCTGTTGGACTCACTGCAACGGTGAAGAGAGACCACGAGAGCAAGGAATGGGTCTTAGAAGGAGGAGCACTGGTATTGGGAGACAAGGGAGTTGTATGCATTGACGAGTTTGACAAAATAAACGAGGTGGATCGAGTGGCCATTCACGAGGCAATGGAGCAGCAGAGCATCTCGATATGCAAGGCGGGTATCGTAGCATCACTCCATGCTCGCTGTTCAGTTGTGGCAGCAGCAAATCCAATTCGTGGAAATTACACGAAGAACCTCTCATTCAGTCAGAATGTGAATCTGAGTGATCCAATAATCAGCAGATTCGACATTCTGTGCGTGATTAGGGACGAAATAGACGAGAAGAACGACAGGGAGCTGGCCAGAAGAATCATTCGAAACCACTTTAGTGAGGATGAGTCTGAAGATGAGGGCTCAGGTGATAGGTTAAGTCTAAATACGCTTAAGGCGTACTTGTCTTATGCAAAGAACAACTTCAGTCCAACAATCTCAGAATTCAACCTGAGCAAACTCACGCAGCTCTACATGGATCTAAGGAAGCATTCGATGCACAGTGGAATTCCAATCACAGTCCGACTCATTGAAAGCGTAGTTCGAATTTCAGAGGGATTTGCCAAATTACGCCTAAGTCACACCGTAGAGAACGAGGACGTTGAAATGGCCATCAAAGTTGCCCTTGAATCGTTCCTATCTGCCCAGAAATACGGAATTGGCCAGAACCTGAGAAAGAAGTTCACCAAATACCTGGAAACAGACGATGATCTGCTACTATGGATTCTGAAGAAGATGATTCATGAGAATGATCTAATAAACATGCAGTATAACAGAAATGGATCAATTAAACTGGACGAATATGCTAGAAGAGTCAAGAAGAACAAGATCAATGGATCAGTAGATGAGTTCGTAGGTGGAGAGAGATTCAAAGAAGAGGGATTCATATTAACAGACGGAATCATCAAGTACAGGTGAGTATTCTGGTAAGAATGACTTAAATTGGTAGTAGATCTCACTCTGGTGGTAGTGTAATAAGATGTTGTTTATGCATTATTTATCAAAATAAACACCCCAATATGAGTAAAGAGAAATCTGATACCAAGACATCGTTACAGAGTCTCCAGGAGATGAAGAAGACGCGATTCCCACTTTCCAGAATAAAGAAGATCATCCAGGAGGACGAGGACGTTGGCAAAACGAGTAGCACAGTCCCAGTTGCCCTGAGCAAGGTGTGTGAAGTATTCATAGAGGAAGTTGCAACCAGGGTGAAAACGGGCAAGAAGGTGAGCAAGAAGG